AAAGGCAGTACTTTTAAGTTATTCAAATATTTGAGAACAATTTAGAAATGTTTAGGGAAAGTTTCCATTGTCACAAAATCAAATATAAAAATCCGATACAACTGAATACCGAACGATCCTGGGGTGAAACTTTTTGACTCGATAGTCAACGTAACTTAAAACAAATAGGGACCTTTCTTATATCCTTATGACCAGGCTTATGACCATGTGTACCAATTTTCAAAGCGATCGCACGTTTTTAAACAAACTATCATGCTCACGGACAAACGCCGGATGGTCAATAAAGGATCTGTTCCAAAATCGCTAGGATTAATTTCAGAAAGGCGAACGTATCATGTGCACGAGCGACGCTTTGAAAACTGGTACACGTATTCTTAAGGATGTAACTGGTATAAGAAAGGTCCTGGTATAATAATAATAATAATAATAATACTACGCTTTTACTCCCCTTAAATTTGTATATAACAATAGATATGTATATAAGAAAAGCTAACCCCATACAAAGTATAACTTGATTTTTTAAGTAGTATACTATTTTAAATTTTTAATGTATATATTGGAGTGACAAGTATTCGAATACTTTTTAAAGTAAGGTAATGAAATACTTTACAAAGTATTCGAATACTTTTGAAAGTATTCGAATACATTCTAAAGTATTTGAATACTTATTTTTTAAAGTATTTGAATTCTTTTCAATGTAACTGTATCTAGTATTCGCTTGTGCTGGACGTAAAAGTATTTAGTACCTTTGATTTGTTAGTGTAAAGTATTTACTATTTAGTATTCACATACTTTTTGAAAGTATTCTGCCCAGCTCTGGTTTAAACCTACAGCGTAGAAATGATCGTTTAAAATTCCAAAGAATAAGCTATAGGTAAGGAAACCTACACCCTCCCAAATTCGAATGGAAAAGGGTATAAATGTAAAATATGGTACAAAAATAAAAATGTACATATAAAGGTAATCATTAATCATTAAATTGTGTTTGACAATTCAGTGTGTAGTGTCACATTTTGTCCCGCGTCGCGTTTTTCTCCCTCCGGGTGAAAAAGTGACATTTTGGACGACACAATACGTTGATTTAATCCACGTAGTACAAAAAATCAATTCCTCTTCCACCAAATCCTCCTTCGCTTCGCATTTATTGTAATAGTTCTGTTTTTATAATAATTTCAACACACCCTATAACATAAATTCCCTTTTAAAATTTGCCGATATGTCAGTTTCCTCTTTAACTATTTCCAGACATGTCTTCTGCATGATCATGAACTTTAAATTCTTATTGTAATCTTACAAATATGTAGTCATCTCAACACTTTTATAAGTTTTATACATTTTCCCCCTTTTCCGACATGAACATGAAAGTAGCTTTAGACCATTTATTTTTAACTCTGTTTATTTATAGGTTAAGTTTTCAACTTAAACCCCAAATGTTAAAAAACTTCAACTTCCGGATAGTTGTCTCAACAAGACTTGTACACTAGGATAACCTCCCCGGTTTAATCGGCCTTAAATGCACCCGGCTCTGGCCGTTAAAAATAAAAAACAATGCGTTTCACCCTTTATCCTTTATCTTTACTCGTCTTAAGCGTTGTAATTTAACTTTCCATCTTGCCTAATAAATTTATAGTAACTTAGCGCTTTAAGTGTTCAATTTACTATAAGTCAACTCTTTTTAGTCGCCTGATGATGGCCTGTAGCCATTAACTTATCATGAATAAAATTATATGGGAAAGGTTTCGAGTTTCATTGCTCCAATTTTATAACTTACGTAAATCAAATTAATTATGAAAAATATGTTTACTTCTGTCATTAAACAAATTAATTAAAAGGATGTGGAGAACCTTTGAAAATGAAACTAAACTGATAAGTCCCTTAAGGGTTTTGGCACGTGATTAATTGAACTAAAATGTTTTCAAGATGGTGCCACTTCCGCAAATACCGGAAGTAGCCATCAACTTTGTTACTTTAAATAGGAACCCCCTATTTTATCTACATTTTTGGACTCTATACGTCGAATTTTGAGTACAACGATACTTCCTCCAAGAGCTTCGTCGATATTCAAGTTTTTATGTCAAAAATTGAATTTGCATCAGTGGTAATTTTAAAAAGTTATTATTCGAAAACGGTAAGAGATATTGCAAAACAGTTGCCACTGCTTTATTAAGGAAAGATCGAATTTTCTTAGGGTATGCGTAACCGTCTAAATTTCTATCTCCATTTTTTTCAAATGGTACCCACCATTTTTTTCTTCAGTGTTGTTTTCCTTTTTCCGAGACCTTTAATTTGATACAAAATGTCAAAGGCTGCTTCAAACGGTTTCCCAGATATTCCATGTTTTAATTGCTTCTTGTAGCAAATTGATAAAAAAATTAAGTCTTAAGTTGACAGAGAATATATTTATGCAGCGGCCAGCCAAATGGCTTTAGCGATGTATGTTTGATTGAACGCTATTAAATTCCGGCAATAACGAAGTACTTTGAATTTGAAGGATTTTTGCTTGAGGCACAATGTGGAGCTCATTAGTGTTAAATTTTGTGAGAAATGTTTCAAATCTAGTTAAGCTTTTAATTGGGCACGTTCTCTAATGAGAGAATCCTTACTGGATTACGAAACGAAATGGGCGCTATACAAAACGAAAACCAAACAAAGGAACGTACAAAACGAAATGGTGAAAATTACGAATGGAAATGCACGCCACTTGAGGCTTTGTGCTATCGCGACGAACAAATTAAAAAATTACAAAAGTCCTCGTATGTGCATCGATGAGACTTCAGCGCATTTTTGGCGTGACGGATCAGTATTGCATTAGCAATCAGTATTTTATCAGAAAATTTTAATTATAAAATAAGGTTTATGCAAACATATATTTCTTTATTAATTTTCACGAACTCTAATAATAATTGGACGATGGTATGAACAGTACGACTCGTAAACCGAACAATCAACAGTGTAGTTGACCATTTTGCCAAAAACTCCGTCAATTATTGTTCCGCCATTCGTTGTCACTGTTCGGGGAGAGATGATCACTATATTGAATTTCTCTTGAAGAAATTTCTCTACCCGATTTCCGACAGTTAATGGGAAATTAAAGTCTCCCATAATCAAGACGTCTTCAGTTGCCTCAATGAAATCCCCGATCTCCGATAACGCTGCAATCAACAAGTTGTTGCCTTTACTAGGAGCATCAGTGGTTCAAATTTCAAAGAAATATCTCCATAAATAAGAAAGTTGGCATTGCGCAGTCACTGCGCATGCCTACACATAATTTTTACTATTTGCGAAATGTTTGCCTTTACTAGAAGCATCTGTGGTTCCAATTTCAAAGAAATATCTCCATAAATAGGAAAGTTGGCATTGCGCAGGGACTGCGCATGCGCACACATAATTTTTAGTATGTGCGCAATGTTTGCCTTTACTAGAAGCATGTGTGGTTAAAATTTCAAAGAAAAATCTCAGTAAATAGGAAAGTTCGCATTGCGCAGTCACTGCGCATGTCTACATAATTTTTACTATGTGTGAAATGTTTGCCTTTACTAGAAGCATCTGTGGTTAAAATTTCAAAGAAATATCTCCATAAATAAGAAAGTTGGCAATGCGCAGTCTGCGCAAAATAGAGAGTGCAATAAAACTGTCTGAAATGGGCAAATATAGACCATAGCAGCTATCAATTAGCGAAAACCCGAAGTCTCTAGGTGTCCCAGGGGCCGAGATCTCGATGGAACGGACGGACGGACGGACGGGCGGACGGACAGACGGAAACACGAGCACATAAGCGTTACCTCAACTTCGTTGTGTTACGCTAAAAACCGCTCAGACCTGGATACGATATTTTTAACCAAAATTATACCACAAACTGTAAAACTCATCACCGTGTTATGATTTTGATTAGTTTTCACCTTGAAGTAGTTATCCTAGATAAGTCATATTAGTGACCGTAGTTAGGCAATGCCAAAAGTATATTTTATAAAAAAGCCATTCCTCTACGTCAATCGGATCGGCCTAAAATCGATATACGCACGGACAAGTTTTCAAGCGGCGTTAGTTATTTCGCAAATTCTAATTAAACGCAACCACTACGGGCTTAATGAATATCCATTGCGCCAATAACTCGACAAGACGGAGATAATGCAAAAAACCGGACCTCTCTACGATGTCTAGATCAAAAGTTTTTCAATCCGCCCAGCCACCCAGCCAGCCAGCCAGCCAGCCAGCCGGACAAAGTGAAATGATAAGCTCCTTTTTGTTACCAAAAATGCGCTAAAAATTTAGCTTAGGTTACCTATTGATAACGTAATTGAAAGATTTTTTTACTTCGGAACAAATGGACGACAATAATACCTATCACAACGTAAATTATAGGTACAGTTGTGTAAACAAATCGACGACAAAAAGGCAGGTAGCAAGCAAAAGCTAATTTTTAATTTAAATTAGCATAAAGGTTACAAAGTGAAATGAATTTACGTTTAAGGGATGTGGATGAACGGTTACTTACTTAGAAGGCTCGTTGTTTACTTATACATTGATCGATGATTGATTATTAGATCGACGCCACAGATTTTAATTTTTCTTGCTTCCATCCACATCTGATAAACTTTCATCCGGCTCGAAGGACTATTTTTAATAATAATCGATGCCATGTAGGTAAATAGCTGATTCCAATTTCACCCTCGAATTATTGCGTATTTGCGGCAATAATTCTTCCTTTTTCGGTTAAGGAAAGCACCGATTTTTGCGATAAAAGCGTAATTGGAAAACTATGTACAATATAAAAATACAAATCGCGAACGTAAAGCCGCATTGCTTCTTAATAGTGTATTTACACATGCACAACATAAAATGCGTTTGCCGAGATGATCGGATTTCTTGAACGATCTTCAAATAGGTAATTGAATAATTTTTGTACGTTAACAAGGTCAAGTTCATTGATTTCTATTATCAGTGGTTACAACTGAGGTTTAATTTAGTACTCGTTGCATTTGCAGTCCACCTAAAGATGACTTGAACTGCTGCGAATTCTTTTAATCGGTTTTATTTTGTGTTCAGGGGGTTTTAAATTGTTATCTGGATCCCATGTGTTTGTGGACATGGCCATTGGTCCAGTGTATTTTGTAAGTCACAAATGGAAAATCACCTCTTCACTTTTTAATTCAATCGTTGGACATTGCGTTATGTTACGATTTTGATTAACATTTCAATTTACTAATACTGCGTGTGTGTCAACAAAATGATGTGTTCCGTTTCGTTACAGTCGACACTCAAAATCTCGAAAATACTCGCTTCAAGACAGCTCCACAAAATCAAATGCGCACCCGAAAAATCGCAGAGTTTCCACCCAACCTGAGGACTTACGGCTCAAGGGAGCCGACCGTGACCAATTGGACAGTCATCGTTCCGACGACCCGAAAGCCTTACGCCGACACAGGACGTCGAGACCGTCGATTGTTCACATCGGAAGAAAGGATGGAATGGATAACTTCCAAGCAGCCCTTATGAAGAAAATGTATGACCATAGCCCACACGCGGTTTGTTATAAGTTTAAAATTGTTAAACGCCGTTACCACGGATCTTTTGTAGATTTTCGTGCAATTAGACGAGTTGTTTGGCGGTAATGAGGATCGCGAGTGGAAGGAGACGGCGCGATGGATTAAATACGAAGAGGACGTGGAGGAGGGTGTGGATAGATGGGGCAAGCCGCACGTCGCTTCCTTGAGTTTTCATTCGCTTTTGAACTTGCGAAAGTGTTTAGAAGAAGGTTTGGTAAATTTGGACATGGAAGAGAAGGAGTTGCCCGGAATCGCGTATCGAGTTTGCGAAGACCTATACAAAGAAGACTTGATACGCGAGGAAGACAAAGCACCACTGATGAGAATTTTATTACTTAGACATCGACATGTTAACGAACACCATGACAGGGGTTTCCGGTTTAGCAGAAAGCAGAGCTATACTTCTTTGCAGGTGAGTCCACTAAGGGGGCGTTGAAGGGTTCAAGAGTATATACTCTTTGACTCTTCTGCCTTAATCTTACTCGAATCTCTGGAATAATTACATCATTGGTGATTGCACTTACAGTCCCAGTGGCTGGAAGAGAATGGCATTTCAAACAGACCTTCTCGTTGTTCCGTATGTTTAACACAAGGTCCTCTGTGCCCTCAGCATTTATTACCTCGTCACTCAATTTCTTCCTACATACAAGTAACTTTTTTGTAATTAAATTGCATCGATTTTTTGTGACATTTGTACGCTTTCTTTTTTTGTTTGCAAACGTAACATCAGTAGTAGTTCATTTTTTAAAGCACTAACACTCTAGCAGCTTGCATGACCACCACATAGCATTTGAAACATTTCCTAACAAATCTGGATTTACTGCGGTTCATAGTGTAGGTAGTGTTGTGAGGCGTCAGTATTTCCAACCGAATTTTACAATATTTTTGGAAATATTCGGGAATACTGTCATTGTTATTAAGAACGAAAATTTGCACACCGAAAATTGAAGCGAATATATCCCATAACTTCTCGAGGATTTTAGTAGAACATTCTTCCAACCCAAACTTCCGATTTCACGAGGTTACGTGAGTAGTTCTCAGGTATCAACATTTTCAGATACATAACATGGAATTTTCGGCATTTTCGTGGGAACTTCGAGAAATTCTTTCGGAGTACACTTTCCCAGAAACCTATGTTCTAAATGTGAAGTCTCTTTTTGACCGAAAAACGTAAATTCCCGTTTTTCCCGTTCCCGTGGGTATTTCGTAAAAGTGTTTTACTAACTCGGAAACCTTTGCGGGTATAGGTCCAACCATTCCACAATGACAGACAGACAGACATTAATTTTTATTTATATAGTGGTATGACCTTTACCTTCGGGCACATAAAAAAATAATAAAGAAAACAATTCCGCACGGACTCATCTAGCTATCTCACAATTACCACATTCAGACTAAAATAAAATACCGCAATTGAATTCTGTAAATTCCAACGGAAACGCTGTAACTTTTGAAACCGGGTACAACAAACTTAAAAGAAAAATCATAATACTTGAATGGAATTGAACCTGAATCTTAAATTGGACTTCTATTTGACACATAATTCAATGACAACAACCTGAGATTACAAAAATGTATTATCAAACAAAAGTAACAGAATTACAAAACCACCCTGTAATACAAATTCTAAGGTGACGTAAAGTTTTTTTGTACAGAACGGACAGAACGAAACGAATAAATGAATTCAAGAAATCTCAAGAAATAAAAAATGAGTACTCACAGTCTGACCAAAGAAATATCCAAAATGATGACTACATTGACAATTCCATATAATGTCATTACAATGTGCACATTTTAAATTCTTTGAAGTTTTGAAAGTTAAGAGATGCCGTTTCAAGATATGGTGATAAAGTGTTTCAAATTCACACTGTGCACATTTTAAATATTTGAAAGTATTACATAATTATGCCTTTTGTACTGGTGACTAATTAAGAGCCTGCAGGGGGAGCCAAAACTTAATAGAATATGAATAATGGAGATACGTGATGTTTCGTCTGGTATAGTAGTTCGTTGTATAATTACCATGTGCACATTTTAAATCTTATGAAGACTTGTGTCTTGAGAGATGTCGTTTCAAAATTTTTAGAAGCGTTACAATGAAATTTTGGAAGTGGTGTATTGCCAAAATGGTAAAGTTTTGTTCATATCAAAATTAAGCTTTTTAGGCCATTTTCTGATACTGTAGCCAATATTCTAGATGTCCTTATAGACACCTGTAAGAAACTAAAAGCGGATGTGATGCATTCTTTCCGGGAAATATGACGTGTTTCTTCGAGAAGATTCGAGAACTTTCGAGAAGTATGGTCGTTTGCTATATAAGCAAATCGAATTGTGCTTTAGACAGTTCTAATATCGTTTGCGAATCAATTAAGTAACCAATATCTCTCCATAATACTTTAATGAACGATTAATACAAACGGAAGTGAAGTATTAAACTCGCCCTCGGTTTATGTAATAAATTGTGAGTGATAAATAATAATTACTGTTATAAATTAATCCGTTTTAACACTTACAAATTTAGTTTTAGTCAATTGTAAACAAATAAATCACGTAATTAATTTACGTTACAATAATCTTCCCAACTGCGAATTTAGTTGGGATACCCTGAATTTTGTGTCATTATTTGATAATATAGTTTTTGATATAGCTTATTTTCTGTTAGGGCGCAATATTTCATTCGGACGGCGCAGAAATTGTTAGCGATTAATTATATATAATTTTCAGGGGCGGACTGGCACGGGGGGGCGGGTGGCGATTGCCACCTAGCCTGTAGATCATAATGGTCCGTTGGAAATTTATAAGTATGTGCTGTATTTAGTTTCTTGCACTATTAATAAATTATTAACACGTTTCTCTAATTGGGGTTGATGTTAGGTTGTTAAAAAATTCTGTTTTAATTGAAGTGTTTTACAATGAATTTATCATTTTTTGTCGTAGTATTTTGAAAGTGCTGAAATACAATGATAGGCGACGCACCTCGTGTGGATTGTATATTTTGTTACTTTTAATTATCAGCTGCAATTTAAAAAAAAACTGTATGGTAATTGATTTTCGAGAAAGGAGTACTTTAAAATGTTTTTGTGGTGCACCTCAGAGCTAACCCCCCCCCCTCGCCACCTTCATTACTACACTAATACTTTAATGGCCCGTAAGTACCCAGTTCGCCCCTTCCTTTTTTACCAAAATTCAACTACACCAAAATTTCTCGGGAAAACACTTATTCTTATTAATTTGGGTGCGTAGAATCCAAATCAATTCGTACTTTTTCGATCAGACTTCTCAATCAAAAGTTATAGACTAGAAACCAATTTCGAAAGAAAATTTAAAGGGCTGTAACTTTTGAACTAGTAGCCAATCTTGGAACTGTTTGAAATTATGGATTCTACAGGCCACATTCTATAAGAAAATTTTTTTTCCGGGTCGATCTGAGACAATTTTTTTTTTGGGGCACAAAAAAAGGCAGTGTATTACCTTCCTTTTTTACAAAAATCGACTGCACCCAAATTTCTCGGAAAAACACTTTTTCTCATTAATTTTGGTGCGTAGAATCCAAAACAATTCGTACTTTTTCGTTTAGACTTCTCAATCAAAAGTTATAGACAGAAACCAATTTCGAAAGAAAATTCAAAGGGCTGTAACTTTTGAACTAGTAGCCCAATCTTGGAACTGTTTGAAATTATGGATTCTACAGGCCACATTCTATAAGAAAATTTTTTTCCGGGTCGATCTGAGACAATTTTTTTTTCGGGGCTCAAAAAGAAGCAGTTATTACCTTCCTTTTTTACTAAAAATCGACTGCACCAAAATTTCTCGGGAAAAAAAACGGACTGGCACGGGGGGGGGGGGCGATTGCCACCTAGCCTGTAGATCATAATGGCCCGTTGGAAATTTATAAGTATGTGCTGTATTTAGTTTCTTGCACTATTAATAAATTATTAACACGTTTCTCTAATTGGGGTTGATGTTAGGTTGTTAAAAAATTCTGTTTTAATTGAAGTGTTTTACAATGAATTTATCTTTTTTTGTCGTAGCATGAAAGTGCTGAAATACAATGATAGGCGACGCACCTCGTGTGGATTGTATATTTTGTTACTTTTAATTATCAGCTGCAATTTAAAAAAAAACTGTATGGTAATTTATTTTCGAGAAAGGAGTACTTTAAAATATTTTTGTGGTGCACCTCAGAGCTACCCCCCCCCCCCCCCCCCCCCCCCGCCACCTTCATTACTGCAACTAATAAGGATTGAAAATAGAATCCATGGCTCCTTTCAAATTTCTGGTTGGTTCACGCTCTTTTGCGTTTTGTGATAGGGGGTGGTGGTACTATATGCTTTTAGGTCATTTGCATTCATAAAATGCTGTCCCTATTCATATTCCCTAGTTTCAGGTACTTCTCTCCTAACTATAAATTCAAGAAACACTGAAAGTAGCTAAGTAAACAGTTAATACCCAAATAAATCAAGACAATAATGAGGAAGGAAGGGTACGTTTAAGAAAAGCGGTATTTCGAAAATTTATCTAACAAGATTAACTTTTATTGCCTTGTTTGTAGTGCGGTATTATTTAAGGAAATTCCGCGCAGATAATAACAAACCATTTATTTTCTTTCTGTTTATCCACTGTAAGCAAAACCCTTTCGGTATGAATTTACTAGAGAAGATACATAAGCGTTTTCAACGACTGTCGTATAAATTATACCTCATTTTATGCCATCCCCTTACCTATTTTGCAGTATTGTTTTTAATATTAAGATGGGAACGTTAAGGGAAAAGAATTCATTGTTATAATTTCTCGTTTTTACGAGGACGGTATTAGGACAACGAAACCGCTCTGTGCTTTTAATAAAGCTCGCCAATTTTCCATAAATTCATTACCTGCTCGAGTTGTGACGGCGTACCCCATTTTCTGCTGTCGCACGCTCTTTTTGATTTTAAAAAGTACTTTGGCTCTACAGGTTTTCCGAATAAGCTTTTTAGACAAATCCGTAGTCTCATTAAATATGTATCGTGTAGTTTTTTCTCTCACTATTTATCGCTTTACCAACACTTGTTTTTCCACGCTATTATGCACATTTTGTGTCTGTGTTTTTAATCTTTGCACGTTTTGATTTAAATAACCGCTAAGTCCAATTAGGGACTGTATCGCAGCGAAGCACTTATTCTACTCCCAACTGAGTTAATATAAAATGTCTCATTCTAGAACCTTTCCGACGCGGAGAAGCGAAAAGCCAGCTATCAAATCGACGTCCCTTTCGGCTCCAAAAAGATTGGACGAAACGTAGAGTCCGAAGGGCATTTGTTACCAAATAATCACACGTCCATAGACATGAAAGAGGAAATGTACACCATCAGCAGCGAAGATATGAAGAAAGCCCAGAACGATCCCATCCTCAAGCGAATTCCTTCCGACGCCCAAAGCACCAGCGTGCTCGTCGGGGACGTTGATTTTTTGGAGCAACCCGCCATCGCCTTTATCCGTTTAGCCGAAGCAGTCTACATACCATCACTGATCGAAGTCAACATCCCAGTGCGTTTCATCTTCATACTGTTAGGTCCGAAGGGAGCCAACCTCGACTACCACGAGGTAGGGAGGTCGATATCGACTCTTATGGCGAACCACGAGTTTCATAATATCGCCTACGAGGCGTACAATCGTAAGGCGCTCCTGTCGGCGATTAACGAGTTTTTGGACGACTCGATCGTGTTGCCGCCGGGCGATTGGGAACGGCAGGCGCTTCTTCCAATCGAAGAAATCAAAGCGAAAAGCGAGCGCATACGTAAACGCAAAGAGGACGCCTTAAAGAAGGCCGTGGGCGAGGTAGCGAAACCGATGTTGGTAAGCGACGATGGCGGTAAGAAGCCCCCATTTCCGAATCCGTTGGAGAGAACTCGAAGACCTTTCGGCGGTCTGATTAACGACCTGAAAAGGAGGTATCCGTTTTATTTGTCTGATCTTAAAAGCGGCTTGAATCCCCAATGCGCGGCAGCTGCTCTGTTTATGTATTTCGCGGCGCTTTCCGGTGCCATAACCTTTGGTGGTCTAATGAGTGATAAAACACAGAATCTCATCGGAGTATCAGAAACTCTTGTGGCAACTTCGGTCGCCGGACTAATCTTCGCTCTTCTGGGTGGACAGCCGCTTGTGATTGTCGGAACTACTGGACCTCTACTGCTGTTCGACGAAAGTTTGTATCAGTTTTGCAAGAGCAGCGGCATTGATTACTTAACAATTCGATTTTATATTGGCATATGGCTGGGAGTAATTGCGTTGCTGGTTGCTTCTGTTGAGGGTAGCGTCTTTGTGAAGTGGTTTTCGAGGTTCACAGAGGAAATTTTTTCGGCTCTTATTTCGCTATTGTACATTGTGGAGAGCGTGATGAATTTAGTATTGGTGTTCACTCGCCATCCTCTGCGTGGGACTTACTACAACCTAAACAATCTAATGCAGGAGTTAAACGAGACCGTGTATAACTCGACAACAGATAACCTCTTTGCAAGAAATGTAAGTGAGCTTACTGCTATCATCAAGAATTCATCAGTTCCTCCATCCGTGCCATTGTACGACTCTATTGGACCCCTCAACCAACCAAATACCGCGCTGCTATGTACCATCTTATCATTGGGGACGTTTGCCATCGCCTACTATCTGCTACTGTTTCGAAATAGTCAGTTTTTGGGTCGCAATGTAAGTATTTATCGCGTTGTGCAATTATGAGAGATCAATTTACAGGCTAGAAGAGCGCTGGGCGATTTTGGCGTTCCGATCGCTATAGTAATAATGGCTTCGCTCAATTACTTCGTTCCCAATACTCACACGCAGAGGCTTACCGTTCCGAAAGGTTTTACGCCGTCCAATCCAGAAGTGCGCGGGTGGTTAGTCGACCCTAAAGGCACGCTACAACCGATCGAATTGTGGGTTGCCTTCGCTGCAGGCGTTCCGGCTCTGCTCGTTTACATTTTACTGTTCATGGAAACGCATATTACAGAGTAAGTTTTTCTCCACTATGCTTACTTATTTTTGTGTGTAGTGGGCGGAGTTTTAACTAACGGCTACTCCACATTACCAAAATTAGAGAGCTCGTGTGAGTTGATTGTGGAGGGAGGTCCAATTTGATTTGCTTACTTCAAATTATGAGTTAATTTACAGTTTTTACTTCCTTTTTGCGTCCATTGTTATCTTCCCGGACGGGAACACATAGGGAGCAGAATCGTCCAAGTCTTGGTCCAGCATAAAAGATTCAGCTTAGCTGCGCCATCTGCTTCAAAGAACTTTTGCGGAAAGGACACCGTTCCCATTTGGGCACTGGGCACTCCATTTTCAGGATCTTCATCGAGCACCTGGATGGATGAATTTAGTCCATCATTTGCACAGAGCTTTTAATGAACAATTCTTATAGCAGGCGAAGAAAATGGCCATTTTAACATTATAACTGGCTGAAACCTATTCGCACATTTTGTCAAATTTAGAAAAATCGGCAATTGAATGTACCCAAATCCACAGAGCTTGGGCAGAATTTGTGAGTGTGTGTACTTTCTCTTTCTGTTGTCCCTAATAGTGATAGCTTTACTGTTGCAAAGTGGATGGTTTATTATTACTGGGTGGTTTTGTTTGACTTAATAAGCAGAATAAGAGTTGAAAGATCCTACTTTCAAAGTGTTACCAACTTTAAATCTTCAAAGGCGGTCGGTACAAATAAAGGCGACGTTGTCAATTTTTGTCACACAGTCATGTAAAGAGGTTTTGCTTTTTTATGATATTTAATTACCTTCAAGACCATCTATGTATCAAATCACGGTTCAAAATTAATCATCAGGTGTTTGGAAACATTTTGACTTTAGCTTTGATTTTGAACCTATGAAAGAACACCATTTCTCTAAGGTAATTTATAATACAGCAGTAAAAGAAAGCTTTCTTTATCTATTTGGACTCGATCTTATCTTCTGGACGCACATACAAAAATAAAATAAGATAAGATAGACTATCTACTATTTGAGGTGCTAATGCCGCTTTAGTTCATTGATATAGGAGAAATATCTATTGTATCATCAGATAAAAAGGTGGGAATTTATTATGGGCACTCTAATTGTTAGCTAATATTGTAGTAGTACATACACTTTCTTGTGTTTGATAAAAATTTACTTCGTTCTTGATTTCTACGCAAAAGGACACACTAAAATCTTGATGCAGGAATTTCACGAAATTGTACAAGATAGGAAAAAGTACACTAAAAAAGAAATGTTAATCTTGAAGTTATTGGGATGCGTAGTTTTCAGGAAAACATTTGGTTGTGGTCCCTGTATTTAAGCTTCAATTTTTACCAAAAATGATAAATTCGTTCTTATAGTAAATTTTGTATAAAAAGAGCGGATTCACTAATAGTGAATATACTTGACTTCTGCAATAAAAGCTAATAGATAATGTAATAAGAGCGTTCCCGGTTCTCGCAATAAACATTACGTAGAAATCAGGACACGTGAACTCATTGTTCTTTAGAAAAGTGCAAATTAACAACAAATTTCAATCCAATCGCAGTGATACATGTTAGTGTGAAGTATGCTTGGGATTGAAGTAGTTCCTCCGACAAATTGTTTAATGAATACAATAAATAAAGGCTTTGTGATCGTACTTACATGTTCTTAAAAGACTTTGTTTTGGGAGCAGACAAAAGACCAATCAAATCTACCCTACTTTAGACGATCATAAAAGATAATCCACTCCAACGTCTATTCGAGAGCTTCTTGAACTTATTTTTCCGCAGCTTCGGATAAAAAGCGAGTTTTAATTTTGAGACAAAAACCAATAGGTACAATTTCTTATAAGGTGGACCTTTACCTTAATCCCTGACAACGATAATAAATTGTATACCGGGATCCCTCTGCCCTCAGGATTTTTGCGGGATTAATCCCGCACATAAATCGAACGGGCTTGACTACAGCTAGTACACCTTTTATTCGCCATAAACCCCACTCCTTTTCTTACTCTTTTTATCACCACTGTAAATAGCAGGTGAAATGTTCTGCTTTTTTCTACTGCACGTCCGCTCTATCTCACTTCACTGGCATCAATAAGGTCCAAATTAGTTCTTCGCATTTATCTTTTTAGGTTTTCTAGTTTTTCGCCTTGAGGAAAGGTTCTAACATTCCACGCCCCTAATCTAATCGTACTCCTCTCTTTCTTCTTAATATGCGTATTCGTTTCTCGTTTCTGTCACCGTCAACTATAGATCTTTAATCCAGTGGTTTCCAGTTGCTTTATGCATGCTATGCCGTTGACTTTAGTTGTTCATCCCTCTTTTGGAGAGGTTTCTCTACAAAGACAAGATGATGCCCTTCTCCAAACTGCTTTTCCGCGATGAAGCCGTTGGCACTTGATGGGGGTTGATTCCTTATCCCTGGAGTCATTCGGTTTCATTTTAGTCGCGTTTTACGACAGGTAGGGAATACCATGGACCGATTCTTTCTCCGGATATGATGTATAATAATAATCACAAATGTTGACGAAAATTTCATTTATACTTTTTGTTTCAGATTAATCATCGACAAGCCAGAACGAAAGCTAAAGAAAGGCAGCGGTTTCCACCTAGACATAGTATTAATTTGTCTACTAAACGTCGGATGCGGCTTCATCGGCGCTCCATGGGTGTGCGTCGCGACCGTCCGATCCGTCGCTCACGTCCAAGCCGTTACCGTCATGTCCAGGACGCACGCGCCTGGCGAAAAGCCGCACATCATAGAAGTTAAGGAACAGCGAGTGTCCGCGTTCGTCGTTTCCCTACTCATCGGTGTTTCTGTATTGATGTCACCCCTTCTTCGATTGGTCCCGATGTCAGTATTATTTGGAGTATTCCTTTACATGGGAGTCGCCTCCACCAACGGAATACAATTCTTCGATAGGATCAGGTTGTTCTTCATGCCGCCGAAACATCATCCCGCTGCGTCCTACGTCAGAAAGGTAGGATCCTTTTTTTTACTTTTCTATATGTCGTCTACAGTACACGATTTATTTAAATAGCGTATTCCTTTATTACATTTTTGAACGGAACTGAACTTCAGCTATCGGAGAGCTGTAATTGTGTCAGTGACTGTACATTTTATTTGCATGTGGGCATGGATGAAATAATTACTTTCCATATATAGCAATCTTCGCCGTTATGCAATTAGTTGACTAGCCTAGAGTACATTAACTTTTTTGAATTAATCTTAATTTCGTGCAGTTTTTTCTATTCGTTATTCACTAAAACATATACAACTTATTTTATTACTGCGATAAATTCAATTCTAAAGCTTATTATTGCTTTTCTAACAATGGGCAGTAAGGATGTGACTTTAATTTAACCACTTTAACTGTTTCTACTGCGTGAAACGTTTACGATCTGCCGTTTTTATTGTTTTAGTCAGTGGGGAATTTTGTAACTATAAGGCATTAGCTTTTAATATCTGATATATCACAATTGTTACGTTTTTTTACGTACAATTTGGATCTATTTTGACACAGTAGGTGTTTTTTGAACTTACCTAATAGAAGGGAGCTTTGAGAAAATGGGATGTTTCTATTTAAAATTTTTTGCAAAGAAGCCCATCGAAAGTTTTTAGAATGTTATACGGTACGTTTCTAAATCTGGACTCGATTTTTCGTGACGGGGTGAAGAACTCCGTTTATGCGTCGCATCTGGTTGGAACAAATGAGCAGTTTACGGTGCATTGTCCTAACTTAATTACATTTTTGATTGATTCTACAAGAAAAAGCAACTAAATTCCATTCTTCCAAATTATTCAATTAAGTTGCCGGAGAAGATTTTTATGAAATTAATTTAGCTACGCATTGCGCTTTCGTTTTCCTCCCAAATAAAGTGAACAAACATGCTGTAGCCGAACTGTTAACAAGATCGAAAGTTGCCCTACTTCTGAAAGATATTTTTCGTGTACTTCCTGACGTCGCATTGTTTCGCCCAAATGGATTACTCGGTGCCGTTCGAAAAGCACGTTCGCGGTTAATATGCTGTAACAAATCGAGGGAAGTTAATATAAAGCAATTTAATCAATTAATGTCATATTTATTTAGCGTCATTTGATTCTTCTCAATCAATTGTACCATTCATTTCAGCACATGCTAAGAAGTCAAATAATTGTTTATTAGCCGGCAATTCGCTGTAAATGCTATATTTACACCCCTTTGTTTGCTGCTGATTTATTGGTATATCGTTAAACATTAAAGTGGAACGAAGGCCAATTTCCATATTTGGGTAGCTGTTTTGTGTATTTGTTGTTAATTTGTATGTGGTCTCAAGAAACGTGTTCATCGGGTGGCATTTTTTTTATCATTTCAGCTCAAATGTACATACTGAATTTGATTAAATTACAGTTTATTTATGCCGCGTAGCCGACTTTCTTCTCAGTATGCTTTAAATCACGCCACCCACCGAGCTACGAATACCGTTATTCCACTTCCGTAGGTGAAATATTCATCATTGGTGGAAGTAGATTGTGGTACTGTCGTGAACAATATTAATTTTTTATTATTCCGCTCTGCATGCGAATAATAATTTTTTAAAACAAAATACGATGTACTCCATTCACACTGAGTTGTTTCGGATTTTAAGTATGAAGCTAGAACAAACGTTTTTAAATGGGAAAAAATTGCAGTAATTAAATTTAAAAGCAACGCAATTTTGTCAGTTGTAATTATTAAGGAGCGACCCAGCTTGTTCATGATTTCGGCCTTGCTGTCCGTCCGTACGTCTATGTAGGTACATGATAATTCGCGAACATTCGAATTTTCCAATTCTGTTTTCAGTAATGGATAGACAATGGTCAAGGAACTAACTGATTAAATTTCGGTCATTCGAACTTTCTGTCCGTCCTTTTGTTTCTCGCTCGTCTATATTCGCTTGAAACTTTAAAATAACTTGTCATTAATATAGACCTCTAGATCCATGACCGACTTGCACATGGGAGCAATAGAAGTCACTTCCTAATAGTGGAGCGAAATCGGGCCAAAAATGTGACAAAATTTTTTTTCGAGGTATAACAAGATCAGACCCAGTAGAGTATGTAGATATTGTAATTCTGCATCCGAAATGGTGTTTTACGACATTTTCCGGTGGTCATGACATTTTTTATAGTAAAAAAAACCACTCAAAAGTGTCTTCATAAAAATTTATGTTTTTAGAGATTTACCCCGGAATATCTCCGCTCCCGCACGAGATATTGTTATAATTGTTTCAGTTCTATAATGCCAAATAGTAAGCGCTTTGTTGAACAGTCTCCAGAATGATTTTTTTTAAATTCAATATCTTCGCAGTTTCCTAAATGGCAGTAGTTTCCCTTCCCCTAAAGTTTAGACAGGAAAGGAACCCTAATTTTATCACAATGACATTATAATTACTTTCACCGTAACACATACTTTTACCGATTAAACGTGTGGTACCGCAGGAAACAATGCAAACCAACACTCGACAACATCGAAGATGTTGGATGGTCCATATAAAGTAATATTTGGATACCTGTCCATGTTACTGTGCGCACAGAAACTGTAACACTAGAAGTACTGCCAACAATAATTCAAAAAAATTTCCCGCAGAGTGAAGTTTATGTCGCACAATAATTGATTTATCGACTTTCGTATTTTTTTCTGATAATGTAGTTACATTATGTTTTCAATATAATATGCAGAACAGCTCCGCTTTCCATTTGGCATTATAGTTTTTGGCATGATTTCGCTCCACTACAGGTGGCAAGCCCGCTATCCGGCCGGCGCCGATAGCAGCCAAGCAAGTGCGCTGCTAGACGGACCACGGGCGCGCACGAGCTGCATATAGAAATATCATTTACTCGAAAACGGTAAGACCTATCACTAAAATTCTTTCACCAAAAACTTTTGGTGACTATCAGCTACAATTCGTATGATATATGTATACTTTGTTTCACTGGTGCTGAACCTGACGTCATAAATGCGATTCTCTCTTAATTACATTTAAATCGATTGAGACAAAAAAATTACGTCATTAACGTAAGTCGTGACAAATAAACCAATTATTGATCTGTCAATAATATCAATCCGTCAAACGATTTTCGTTAGATTTGCAGTGTTTTGAGACTTCCTCCATATCACTGCGAGTATAATCCAATCGAAATGGTATGGGCCATTAAAGTATTAGTGTAGTAATGATGGTGGCGGGGGGGGGGGGGGGGTTAGCTCTGAGGTGCACCACAAAAACATTGTAGTACAAGTACTCCTTTCTCGAAAATAAATTACCATAAAGTTTTTTTAAAAATTGCAGGTGATAATTAAAAGTAACAAAATATACAATCCACACGAGGTGCGTCGCCTATCATTGTATTTCAGCACTTTCATACTACGACAAAAAATGATAAATTCATTGTAAAACACTTCAATTAAAACAGAATTTTTTAATAACCTAACATCAACCCCAATTAGAGAAACGTGTTAATAATTTATTAATAGTGCAAGAAACTAAATACAGCACATACTTATAAATTTCCAACGGGCCATTATGATCTACAGGCTAGGTGGCAATCGCCACCCGCCCCCCCCCTTGCCAGTCCGCCCCTGCCCATATCGCCCTTTAACGAGTCATGGTGGATTTCGAATTGTCGAAACTCTACTCCTGTATCGACATTGGCAATTCGACCTTTTACTAGGTAATTACTTCTGCCATTTTCCCGCACTTTATCTAAAAAAATGCACTAATTGTTTTCCACTTTTGGGTTGAATTTGGAAGTGTCGATTTTTTTCAATATACCGGCAGGCGCGGAGGAATGTCAACACGAACTAAAAACTTAAAATAGTATATTCTACCTATATACCAAGGGACTAAAATGTGTGTTTTAATCTCGAGGGTGTAGATTGTTGCCCGAAACGTATTTGTGGGCAATAAACACCCAAGGGATTAGGACGCACTAGCCCTGCGGTATATATCTACGCTATTTTCTGTACTTCTGTAATCAGCTACAGCAATTTCAATGTTAAAAGTCCTCGTTCAAAACGGCGACGCCGAAATGATCATTTAAAACTTTGCAAAACAAACAAAGAGGGCCAAATTCAAGAAGATATCAGGAAAACGGTATAATAAACATAAAATATGGTGCAAAAACCAAAAAATAAAGGTAACCATTAATCATTAAACTGTGTTTAATCTTATTAAAGCCCAAAATTTCTCCCCTCTTCATTAATTAGCGACACAACCAAAGTTATAAAATTTAATTGGGGCAGGCTTTTTCATTTGCTAAGTGAGGGGCGAGCTTTCTGTAAAGAAAAACATTAACGTTTTGAATGTTAACCCATGGAATTATCAATCACTTTACAATTAACCCCCTAATGAGTGATAGAATAGAAAGTAATCAGCGGATTTCTACCTGAGAATTTCTGATAGATTTAGTTTTATGTACACTATTGTTTGCGATAATGAGACTACGCTTTAAATAGAGCCCATAAACGGTTTTCTAACAATTCGTTAAAGAAGTGTAATTTATGTGCCATTGATATGTTCGCAGCTCCTAACAACTGTTTTAAATCACCTTTCAGTGTAATCTTTTTTTTAATTGATTAAATGCAAAAAACTTATGGCACTGGCAAATTAAAGCGGCATGACAAACAATTAATTTAAATGAAACCTGATGACATTGAGATCATAAAAGAAACGCATCCATCCCCATTTTTAGAACCACTCGGTATTTTATGACCAATTGACCTTCTCACCACGTAAAAAATGCTGGTAAACCACCCTGTATAATTGGTGTGTGCAAAGTAACTTCCTGTTAAAGATGGATCGCTCTCGAGTTAGCTGAAAACCGTATGTGGCTTTTGAAACATCCTGTAAACATAAACCATTTCCTAAAATTACGCAAACATGCCTATCACTCTTATCGCTACAAATTCCGTTTTTACGCCGAGATACATAGTATTACTTGGGCGTGTTTATCTTGTAAATATTTGCGGATAGAATGACTACATGCCATACCAAATAAGCATTGAAGGTTTTCAATAACGTATACTGATAAGATACAAAGCATTAACAAAATCGTTTAACTAAAGCTAAACAATAATGCCAATGCCACTAAATCATCAGGCATTCTTTGCTTATCGTTAGTTGTCTAAATTCCACAATTGGTTACAATGGATTCTGTTTGTAGTGTAATGATAATTTATTGACCCCTCTAGGGCTAATAATATGATACAGATTGGTGCTACCGAAAAATCTCTTAATCTTATCCATAATTATCCTTGGATTGCTCTTGTAAAGTTATATAAATAATCGCCGGAAAACTGTAGGTCATCCTACAGATATTTTTAATTTTTTAAGTTAATAATATACAAGAAGGGGGGTACAGAAACTGTTTCCAAAACGGTTTAGGGTGTCTTTTGATTTCTAATTAAACATTGCAGCAAACTTATTTCAAAATCAGACTTGTGTCGATCACTCTCGAGTTCTTGGCATAATGCCATTGCGACGATAATTGAACATTGCATGTAGTGTTCTAAAAAGCAAATTCTCCATGTGTGGTTTTAATATATGCAGTGGAAACGCTTCAATTACAAAATTGAATGATTGGATTCAACAATATAATTACAAGATCGTTTAAATTAAACAATTTCATGACACTTGAGGTTGTTAAAATGCCCTGTTTTAAATAGGCAAATCGGGCGATTCTCACAGAAACTCATGAATTACCAGCGCCCCTTCGTGACACACACGTAGAACGTCCCCCACTAAATATATTGCCGACTTCCGGACCTCAATATTGATTTAGTCCCTAAATTTTGGCTTTACTAACCCCGGGGCATCCTATACCTTTTATTTCACCCCAATAATTTCTTATGTTAGGTATTCTAACATCCCTTATCGCCTCGTTTTGTATGTTCTACTTATTACAGGAACGAAATGGTGAAATTTTGCTTAAAAGCGAAGTGGGTTCGATTGATTTTTCTTCTATCTGTCGCTTATTTTTCGTATAAATTCATCCACTGTAGCAGGTTATTTGTATCACTCTGAAAGGTAATGGATTTGACATACGTTTTCTATTTATTTTCACTTAAGGTCGATTTTCATTATTATTATTCAATAAGTACGTAATATTTCATCTTTTTCGGCTCTTTAACTTTTATCCATAAAACAATTCAATGAAGGTACACTTATTCAACAACAAGTTCATAGGATATTGTTATTGAGTAGACTAGGGATAAGGGCTATCCCCATGATTAGAACAATCATTTCTTAATGTATTTTCCAATTGTAGCTTCTTCTCCTTCCCCTGTTCCAATGAAAAAACCTCACACCCTGAAATACTTACCAAAAACTTACTTTAATTGAAAATGTACGTTTATACCCTTGATCCTAAGGGTATAAATTAAAGAAACGAACACGTGCTACGTACACAATTCTAAAGTCTCCGGAAATTCTCGCCCAAGAAAACTCACTTCAGGTAAATTCACAAGCTCGATATCCATTGCGAAAACTCTCCCTTTGGCTAATTGTTACGTACTGAATTCTAAGGTTTCCTTTCTGCTTTTGGACCAAATTAAAATTCGTCCCACTGAATGCGTTTCCGGAAAGTAGTCCTTAACGAAAAACGAAATAGTTACATACTAAAAGTTTACTGAAAGGAACATTCACTTTCAGAAAAGCTCGACATAAAAAATTGTGCCCTCTCAAAAACGTCTACATGGTCAATTCCAAAGGTCCTTCTGCTTTCGGGATAAATTTAAAATTCGTCCCAGTGAATCCGCTTTCGAAAGTTCACGCTCACGAAAAGTCACCTTGAGGTAAATTCCCCCGCGGAATACTCGCGCACTAAGCGCTTGCATCAAGAAAAATTGACTCTCAGAAAGCTCGGCCTCCAAAGAATTGTCCTTTGCCTTTGAAATAACAGAAGAATTGAAGTTTCGCGTTCTGGAAAACTGGACCTATACGAATTGAGTTGAAGAAAACTTGCTCTCGAAATATATGCTTCAATTCTAAAATTCCCTCCGATAGTTGTGACAGAATTTTCCGTGGTGAATTAAATTCGCAAAATCCGTTCCTGAGGGCGTATCTTTCGAGAGTAAATCTCGACGACAAATTTTCCACGCCTTTGGTTCGATAGCGAAGTTACTTTCTTCTTCATTCCTATCGGACAAATTGTCAGTTTTTCAGAAAATTTGTCGGATAAGTATTTTCGCACGAGTAGGGCCTTGTGCGCGGGTGCACCATCCTGTTAAAGCCAACAGGTTCCAATTTTTGTTTTTTTATGTGCCGTACATTATTGTATTCGTAATAAAAAAAACTTTTTTACGGGCCATATTAAAAAATAAAGTTCATGATAATTTCTCCAAAACGAAACTATTTAAATGCGTTACTTTTCCCTAATTTAACCATCGTCTTCTATGGTTTCCAAGATTCCCATAATAGACATCCTTATCTTGGACCCTTGGATACGGCCGTCTACCGCTCCTCGAAAAAGCTTTGTGCATTTCTTGAAGTTATTTTACCTTCCTGATATATTCTCAATTGAACAATTCGGCTCCATTCCAGCATTTCTTTCCATTTAAAGCGCAAATTTCTTTAGCCACGTTTAATGTTCACCGACGAATTATTCCTGCCATTGCATAATTTTTTTCAATATTTTAAATGAATTCAGCTTGTAACCGACTGCATTCGTGAATTATGCAACATCTTATTCTAACTATGCCAAATGGCATACATTATATAAACGTGTACTGATTTCATTTAATTCCAATTCGACTGTACAATTGACAAACGTACTTCCCAGTTTCGTCTATATCGATTATGAAGAAATGTTTCATTGTCAAAGATGTAAACTGAATTTAGAATATCATTTAAAGGGGACAAGCCAAGAACTAGAAAACTAGATAGTAAAAGTGAATGCATATCGCTTAATACTTGTAATCGGGACAAATTGAATTATTCAAAAATTTGGTAATATTTGGATAATTAAATGCGCAATCTTCATTCGGATATTGTCTTCTACGGACAATGGTGGGGAATTGACTATAAAGATGTGCCGTGTTGAGCACTTATCACGCTAATCCAAGAGTGCAACGATGAAGTGTGTTTTGGTAAGATAGTGGCGAGTTAAAAGATTGCTTCAAGTTTTTCTTGTAGGTTTTGCTTTATTTAGTTAACGCGGCGTTTGCGGGTGCGCTGACGGGGAGCTATCTTCCCACGGGTGGGTCAGGTGGATACTATGGATCGGGCAGTAATTACCATGGCAGCTATCAGGGTGGTTACGGTCACGGTGGTTTAGGTGATGGAACTATCCGATATGGACAAATTGGACTTGGTGGCAACTATTACGGAGGCGGACCTAGTGGATACTACTCCGGTGCAGGTCGTGGAGATGGCCACTATGCTGGCCAGTTTCAGCATACTGTAGGTGGTTTTGCTCCCGGAAGTTCTGCAAGTAGTGCCAGTTTTGGGGAAGTAAGTTACTTCCCAAAAATCTCGTACGACGCTAAAAGCTACGAGCACGGCAGTGTAGATGCCTTACCTGGGGCGGCTAGCAACCAAGTGCACTTTTACGGCGGACCAAGCGGTAGCCATACCCGTTTACAAATCCGCTTGGGCTCGGCTCCGCAGAAAACTCGTGTTTTGTTTGTAAAATCGCCGGACGCTAGTTCTTCGATCATTCCGGAAATTGTCGCGCCCCAAACCGCGTCGGAAGACAAAACGACCGTCTACGTATTGTCTAAACAGCAGCAAGCTCATGGATCTATCACTATACCTTCTGGTATCGCTGGCGGTAACACTGTGCAATCTAGACCTGAAGTATACTATCTCAAATACGACAATCAGCATGATGCCGAACGAGCCGTTGCTCAAACTCTTGGAGGTCATGGTGGCGGGGAACATGTTGTTGCTCAAGACAAAAATACGTTTGTAAGAACGTTGGAGGATTCGCATTTCTCACGGGGTCACGGTATCGGCGGACCAGTATATGGTAGTCACGGATCTGGAAGTACGGGAATTACATACACCGTTTCTGGAGGAAGTAAATACGGTACTCCTGGAGCTAGTGGACCATATTAAGTTTTATTTATTTATTTAGAAAGTAGCTATGTTTTTCTTAGTTACTTATATGCTATTTAATTGGCTTCCCTTATTTATAAACGTCATTTGCCTATTAAAAAACGAATAAAGAATTGTAATTTACATCTTAGCTACTTTTCTCACTCCGTGAAGTAGGTACAAATACTGTTCTTTGCCATTTTAAATCTTCCTCATTTTACGGAACCGGGTAGCCACTTAACTACACTGAGTACAAATTACAAACAGTATAATTTAAAAACTAATCAATGAAACTAATAAACTTAGGCAATTGATAGCATAATTTTTCCTTTGATAATAATATTAACAGTTTTATAATCATACCTCCCATACTAGAAGTAAAATTATCAGCTAGACAGTTACGCGATTATCTTAGTTAGATAAGCGCAAATAACGGTAGATCGGCAAATGAAATTATCGTAGGTAATTGCACAAGTGCATCAAAATTACCGATAATTTTTTTGAAAGCATGTTGTCTAAAAACTGCATGAGTTTATTTTCATATTTTGGCGAAAGAGCCCGACACCGAAGGTGGAGGGCTCTTTTAACAAAATATGAAAATGACCGAATGCAGTTTTTTACTGACAACATGCTTGAATAAAAAATTATCAGGTTTATTTTGATGCACGAGTGTAATTTAGGGGAATATTTCCCGAACAAGCATTACTTGTCAAACTGACGTTAAATTGTGTGGACATGTACGCATCGTAGAGATTAATGGTACAATTGAAATATAACAACCCTAGTCCATACACTTTCTGAGTTACCCTGCTTGTTTTGACAAATTTGTTAAGTGCTAATTAACTGCCCCAATTCGGAATTTGGTGTTTTATTTTGAGAGCTACATCAGATTTTGCTAGCTGCATATACTTACATGGGGTAAGAATTAAGTAGGTACATATATGTCGCATCCAACAGTTGCATGGTAGAGGGGACCAAAAAAATTTTTTTTTAAATAAACACGTGCCTTAAATGCTTACTTTGGGAGTTACGCTCCCAAGATTCTTACAATTTGCGTTTCTTCTTTGAATTTATTCTCAACAATCATAATAATAAACAGGTCAGCATGAAAATAATGAAACCAGATTTTGAAAAATTGAAAAACTTGCATGTTTGAAATTAGATTTTTTTGACAACATTCCTCACTTAGTCCCTCCAAATATATTTAAGAGTAACTTTATACAATCATTCAGACCTGTGACGTATCAGAAACGTCGAACTTGACGTGCAGGTTATCTGCCAAAAAACGTTATTTTGCGTTATTTAGTATGAAACGATGAAGATATTGAATTTAAAAGAAATCATTCCGGAGGCTGATGTTCAAAAAATTTTCATTCCGTCATTATCATTGTGAATAATCACCGCATTAATAGTCGCCGTAAATTAACAGTAAAAATGGCATATAGGAGAAAAAAAGTTTTAAAATTGTTAGTAGGGACTCCTTACAGACAAGTAAATTTATATAAAAAGAATTCCCACCTCTCAGGGGGGTGCTTTACCTCCTTTTGCAACAAAAACCACCTCCTTATGCGACCTCGTGCTGGTATTTTTAATTTATCTCGAAAACTGATACTCCGAGGAGGAAAATGGGTACAACCTAAATTATTCCCTATAAAATTATACATCATTTTTTCCTACGCGTTTTTTCCCTATCACGTATCCTAAGCTCACAAATGACGTTTACCCAAAATCGCCATGAAGCCTTCATTTTCATGCCTACTTTATGTCAGGAAAATTTAGATTCCATGACAGAGGCAGACCAGACTACTTTTCCTGCCGCCTATCACTTTAGCGGCCGGACCTGCCACTTTTCAAATCGCCCAGATCTTTGAAACGGACGAATAGATCGAAGGCCCTCTCTTTTTTCTTTACAAGTTTACAAGTTTTTTGAAACGAGGAACATTTGCAGACATTTATACAGCTTATATTAATTTCATTATAAAAAACGGTACGGTCAACGGTTATTCCGAAAATATGGAGACAGCTAACGACAACAAAAATTTTTAAAACGAATATCTGCTGAAATAATTCCTGTTCCTGAATCACAGACAAATTTCCGGATCAACCTGCCGAATAAAGATCGTTTCAACTGAATTGAAATGTGTCGGTATCCAAGAACTTTCTGCCACAGATGATGCTGATTCTTTAATTATCAGGGTGTCTTCTTATTCTCAATTATCATAACTGCTCTTTCTCCCCCTGATATATTCGATTTTTAAGAGAAGGAAATCATCAAGGAAAGGACATACAGTTCTCTCGATCTTCAAAAGTTCTTATCATAACTGTAAAAAATATATTATTTGCTCACGCACTCAGTAGATGTTATGCCTACATCGGCATTTTTTGGACAAGAAGAAATAAGCACATATGAGATACCTACACTTTATACTATTTGTTCAAAACTTATTGTTGCAATATTTTAAATCCACCTAAATATTTTCTTATTACCTACTCTATTTGTTTGCATACTATTTCATTCATATTATAATATGTAACAGCGTGTTTCTTTTCAACACCTTCCAATAGTTGCCATGAATTGCGAGATCTGTGAATTTTTAATAAATTTTCAGCATTCTATACCGGGTGAATACTTTCAAACCGAACATAGGGAATTAAGGGTGTATTCTATATATTTTTAGAACTACCTATTATAAATAAAAGTTCCTCTTTAGGCGATCGATTTCGACTTTATTAATGTCATCTTTAAGGCCGTAGCGTGGGATTGAATGGGTAACTTCGTTATTATTAAAGATAGAGAATTGGTTCAATGGGCAATGTTTTGCAGTTTTAGATGCATTACCTGTTGTTCTGCAAAGTTTTTTGAATAAATAAATAAATGCTTATTTAAAATTTCCTTATGGAAATTCACAATGTCGCATAGGTTCGACGTAAATTCAAAAAAACTAAAATTGGTCATTTCCTTGAATGTCTTATATCATCGAGAGTATAAGAGATATAAAAAAAAGTTTTATATAAAAGTGACTGTCTTTGATACGCTTAATTTAGAATTTATGTCAAAAAAACATTCAAGATGGCTACTTTTGAGGAACTTTTACCAACTTCCTAAACTTAAGTAGGCGCTATATGGGATTTTTAGATTACTTGATAGATTTTTTAATTCTCTTTTCAACGAGCCATCATAACATAAGATTGAAAATAAGATACCAGTTATATCAACGATTTTTATATTTGAATCAAGTAGGCTGTGATGAATTAAAAAAAAACAAAACAAAATCTATTCGAACCAACAAAGCAATGAAAATAATTACATCAGATGTTTAAAAAATCAGGGTGCACTCATGAGCGGGAGGTTTGGGTATTATAACTCCCTCCAAAATTGTATATAAGTAGGCCTAGAAAAATTTTGATTTTTATATCATCACTTATTGACTGCCCCATCTTATTATCCATACTTACATACCTACAAATGGTGGTACAACTACAAACTATCTCCTCGAAAAAATGTCATGCCATTATCCAGTTAAACACATTTCAAGACACTTTGCTTTATTTTACACAATGTATTACCATTGATGCATTGTTCCAGGTCACATTTTGTAGGTCAGTTATGTGGTTTATCCGCAAGAATATCGAAACTAACAGTTTTACCAGTCCGAGTTTATGGACAGATGAATCTAATTTTTCTAACTGTGGAGTGTTCAAATCGACATAATGAACACTATACTCGTCACAGGAAAACCTACATGTTTTAGTTTCACGCCGAAATCAAGTAATATTTTTTTAAATTAATGTATTTTATGGCATAATGGGAAGTCATGTAATTGGCCGGTAATCTTCGTTGGATCTGAAACTGCTCACTATTATTTACAAATTCTCCAATAAAGTTCCTTAAAGGATTTTTCTCGACAACGTATGTTTCGAAGAAAGGGTTGGTTTATGCTACCTACTAACAAGCTGTCTGCACTGGTCACAATTCACTAATTATGTACAGTACATTCAATTATAAAAGTAAGTACTTAATTAAAAAATAAAAGTAAAGTGGAAGTAGCTACCACTACAATAATAATAATAATCATCAATGGCAACACGTTGCCTAAACTAAACTGTCTTGAAGTGTGTTTCACTAATAATGGCCAGTATTTTAAACATCTGGTGTAATTGTTTTCATTGTTTTGTTGCCTCGAATAGATTTTGTTTTGTTTTTTTTATTCGTCACAGACTACTTGATTAAAATACAAAAACCGTTAATATAACTGGTATCTTATTTTCAATCTTATGTTATAATAGCTCGTTGAAAAGAGAATTTAAAAATCTATCAAGTAATCTAAAAATCCAATATGGCTCCTATTTAACTTTAGGAAGTTGGTAAATGCTCCTCAAAAGTGGCCATCTTGAATTTTTTTTGACATCAATTCTACTACTTTTATATAAAACTTTTTTTTATATCTCTTATACTTTCGATGATATAAGACATTCAAGGAAATGACCAATTTTAGTTTTTTTGAATTTACGTCGAACCTATACGACATTTTGAATTTCCATAAGGAAATTTTAAATAAGCATCTAAAACTGCAAAACATTGCCCATTTAAGCAATTCGCTATCTTTAATAATAACAAAGTTACCCATGCAATCCCACGCGATCTGGGACACACAGTATATCGTGTGTTAACATGTTAAAAATTATGTTGTCTTACCGTCAAAGAAGTTAAAATATAATAATAATAAGTGGATGAATGGTGGTAACATTAACATTTATGTGAATTGATGTGGATGTTGATGAAGCGGCTGAAATAAACTTTGAAGTTAGTAAAACGTGTAATAATGTTAACACACAATATATATATTTTAGCTACGGCCTGAAGATGACATTAATAAAGTCGAAATCGCCTAGATCCCATCTTGTTGCTCCCCCTTAGAGAGGCACCACTGGAAAGAAGATTTTTTTTTTCCCATCTTGTTGCTCCCCAAATTAACTTAGAGGGTTCATAACGGCACCACTGGAAAGAAGATTTTTTTCTCATCTAACTAAATGCGAATTAGTTAAGTTTTATTTGTATTTTCTCATTATTTTATCAAAAATTCGCAAAATAAAATGAACTCAGAAAATCATGTAGCCATGACCCGTAGATTTAAGCAACCGGAATTGTCAAATTGAAAAACTATCTGTCGTATTGTCGATATTGACGGAATAGAAGTTTGTTTAAATTCCACGGAAAATAAATCTCGCCCTCTGCGGTAACTATTACCGCCGTACACGTTTTTTACAATAAACACTTTTTCCCTCAATGGAATACATCGTAAGTTTTGTAGTAAGTACCTACAAATTAAAATTATTGAGAGTTATCGTACCGTGAATTTTTAAACCAAGTACACATTTTGACTAAACCTCTCGCCAGGAAAGATTGCCGGTCACAGAACACTTGATCCCGGTCTACAATCTATATGTTATTCTAAAGACGTGAGCGTCTTCCGGGATAGTATCGGGTCAATGTTGAACAAAAAGACTTTTCGTTTAACATTGGCACAATCCTATTCCGGAAGTCGCTCGCATCTTAAGAAAAACTTAGATTGTAGATCGACACAAGGTGTGCTGTGACCGGCAATCTTTCCTGGCGAGAGTTATACCTAATTTCGCAAAATAATAATTATACGTGCAACTAGACGTTAATAATTTGCATATCATAAAACGCGGAAAAAAATCTTCTTTCCAATGGTGGCATTATGAACTCTCCAAGTTAATTTGGGGAGCAACAATCTGCGAAAAACTGTTTTCCCATGTTAATTCCCTATGTTCGGTTTGAAAGTATTCACCCGGTATATGTTTCACTTGGCACTGTTTAATACTTTTTTCTATTGAGTGTGAGCATTGCGTTGTTTAATGCTGATAAATATTCCTATTTTTATTATCATAAATTAGCATAATATACAGGTAGGTAGGTACTTGTGTTTTGAGATAATTTTATTTTTCGTTTAATTTTAATCAATCTAAATAATAATGGTATATGCATCGAATAATTCTTCACTCAAGTTCGTACTTTATCGAGTAAATGAGAAGCTATTCGAAAAAAACTCAATTTTCGACGAATTCTTTAAAATAAGCACACTTTTATTCTTCTTTCTTATTAACCAATAATGGGTAATGACTTCGGCTGCCATCAAAAAGTATTTTCTATAAAAATAATTGCCTTCCAGCGATCGCGATTGGTTTTTGTTTATGCGAGCATTAAATTAGTAATTATCAATTGTGCTAGTTTTTGTTCTACTAGCAAGTGATATCGACTATTCAGGTAAATTTCAAAGTGACCCTTGTAAAATTTAATCGTGACCTATTCCAATTTATAATTGCCCAAAGAAACGGATAATTGCAATACAGACATTTCAAGGTGAATACACCTTTACATTTTCGAATCCAGATTGCCATGAACATGAAAGAAGGTTAATACTCTCTCTCTGGTCTTCTTTAAGTGCTGGATGATTCATCAACTTACCCATTCAAGTTAATTAGCCTACTTCACCTTCCAGTCCTAATGGTGATTGCATCTCTTTGTCAATTGAGTGAGGGTAATTATGCAATCAACTTTGCAGCAGGTGTGTAAGAAAACAAAAACAAAACATCATTATGATGGATATTTACTACTTTACAGCATACATATTAAAATTTAAAAATGGCACATTGCGCTACAGCAAAATGTCATAGTTGGACACTGGACTGTAAAATTCTTACTTCTACCTCATTCAATTAATAAATTAATTATACACCGATCATATCTCTACATACAGTTGGAAAGTATTTAACCGTTAAAACTGTCAAGGTATAGGCAGGTTGGCATGTATGTATATTACATATTAATAATAATGTTTGTCTTGGCAGTTTTAAGTCAAATTTGCAATACAAACATTTTTACACATAACATGGCCATTTAAAAATAAGCTTCTTTATTTTTGTGTAAACAGTCCTTCGTTCTTCCACCCAATAAAGAAACCGTAGCACATCGATTATACACCTTTTAAAACAAGCCCTTTTTCTTCTTCTCCTTCTTTCCGTCCACGGCCTCCCTACTTCCCTCCAACGATCTGCGCCGTAGCTCCTCGATGGTCACCTGATTCTCCTTCTCCCAATTCTGCTTTTCCATTTCGAACTGCTGCCTTTTGTCCTCGAGCTCCTTAGCCTGCTGCTCCAAACTCTTCCTGGTAGCTTCGTGCCGTCTCGTCAGCTCCAGCTCGCTGTCCTTCAGCTTCTGCTTCTTCTCCCTCACCTTCATCTCGAACACCTGCTCCATTTCCGCCTCCATCTTCTTCATTTTGAGGTCGTGGTCGCGCTTCTCCTCGTCCATCTGCGCGAGAGGATTTTTATTCGATATCCTCGAGGGTTTCCCGTCGACCCCCAGACCGGCCAGCTTCCGGCACCTGTAATTTTCGTAGTGGACGTTGTTGGTGACGTCCTTGAGATCCTGCAAATGCGTCCTTATCACCATATTCCTGAGAGCGATAAAATCACAGTGTTCCAAGTTTTCCACTTCGACCAATCCCCACGGGTACTTCCTCCCCCTCAGTTTCTTCCCTTCCAGTTCGATGACCGCATTCGAACCTACCACTGCGAAGGGAACTCGATCCTTGAGCGTTTTGTTTAGCTTGTGCTCCTCGTCCTCTTCGACCGTGTCTGGAAACTCGTAGATTTTGATTTTGTGCTGCGCAATTTCGTTGAGGATTTGCTTTTTGAACAAGTTGCACTCGTCCGATGTCAACGTGTCGGCCTTCGAAATGACGGGGATGATGTTCACTTTGTCGCACAGCCGCTTCATAAATTCGATATCGAGCGATTTTAAGCCGTGCCCGGACGGTTGGATGAAGTATAAACAGCAGTGCACGCGTCGGTCGGCTTCGGGCTTTCGGGTCACTCGCGCTTCCGAATTTAAGTAGTCCTCGTACTTGCTTTCGATGTATTCGATGATCGGGGCCCAACAGTTACTATTATCGACCGCATCACCGAAACCGGGGGTGTCTACGACGGTCAGCAATAGGTTGACCCCGTTTTCTTTCACGAGCACCTTCGTAGTTTCAACGGCAACTGTTTTTTTTAACCGTTGGGTCGGTCCGGGATAATCTGCCGAATTGTAGACGTCAGTTAGGAATAGGGAATTGATCAAAGTCGATTTTCCTAGGCCTGATTCGCCCACGACCATGAGGGTAAATTCGAAGCCCTTTTTCACAGCTTTTCGATAGACCTGATTCGGTAAATTGGCAAAGCCGACGTAACCATCTAGCTCTTTGAGTTTAGGCCGCTCCTTTACCACTTCTATCTCTTTCGTTTCCCTAACAATCTCCTCTTTGGCGGAAGGTAGTTCTGGTGGTGACTTTGTTGGTGGTTCCGGAGGTTTGTCTAATGAGGGGGCTTTGGTTATGCGATTGGAATCTTTGACAGGTGGTGAATCTGTTGAATTGAAGAACATTTCGCGCTTACTTTGTGTAGCTGTTGGTGGAGTTTCGTTTCCGTTTGTCTGATTCATGGTGGTGCCGTTTGGTGTGGGGGTTGTGTTGTTTTGATCGAGGTATTTTTGTCGTAATCCTAACCTGTCTAAGCTGGACAATCTGTAGGAACCTCCTATGTTATCTTTATCCCTATCTCTAAAACCGCTACCCGCATTAAAACTAGAAGTATATTTTGGCAAGGTTGGTGGTGGAGCCGGTTTCGTGTCGGTGGAGTTTCGATTTAATAAGCCCGCACTCGATGTGTACAAATAACTGCTAGGCATTATATTTGGTCGCGATTTTATTGTGGCCGTTGCTTGCGTTTGTGTTGTGGGAATTTGAGCATTCACGTTATTGGCACTCATTGTTTAAAAATTAAATTCGAACACACAAATGATGAGTAATGTTTTACTGGTCTGCCACGCCCGTCGTCAACATAGCGTCTATTCGGTTACTACAGCAAAATTGCACGATTTTCTGGCACGATTATTAGGCGCACGCAATTACTAATAAATGACTATTACTACGCGAGTATTAGAACTACATTTTCCGTTTAAAATAACGTCAATTCATGAACGATATCATCGTACAAGTCGACTGCGCAGCGATACCATTTTCACTATTCACATTTCATACTTCAATGCGGTTCATGCGTGTAAAACAGATGGCGCTGACGTTTGTTGTGAATTGTCATCATGGGCGTAGATTCGGGGAATTTCCTACTTTCAAAGGCGGAAAATCAATACCAAGTTTCTCGTTCAAATTTAACTTTGTAAACAATTACTAACACTCGTCCATTTCATCTATTCATTTTATCCACTACAAAGTTCATAATCTTACAAATATTTAACGATTAATAAATTAAATGCTCTATGCCACCTAGCCTGTAGGTCATAATGGCCCGTTGGAAATATATAAGTATACTTGAAATCACGAATCTTTGTCCCTGCGTCATTGATTTGTGAATCAATTTCAGACAAGTTTTTTATCGATTTCGCATACTTGACAGAATATTACAGTGTTTTAGCGTATGTCTGAAATTGATTCACAAATCAATGACGCAGGGACAAAGATTCGTGATTTCAAGTTTATGTGCTGTATTTAGTTTCTTGCACTATTAATAAATTATTAACACGTTTCTCTAATTGGGGTTGATGTTAGGTTATTAAAAAATTCTGTTTTATTTGAAGTGTTTTACAATGAATTTATCATTTTTTGTCGCAGTATTTTGAAAGTGCTGAAATACAATGGTAGGAGACGCACCTCGTGTGGATTGTATATTTTGTTACTTTTAATTATTCAGCTGCAATTTAAAAAAAACTGTATGGTAATTGATTTTCGAGAAAGGAGTACTTCAAAATGTTTTTGTGGTGCACCTCCCCCCCTCGCCGCCTTCATTACTACACTAATACTTTAATGGCCCGTAAGTACCCAGTCCGCCCCTGTTAGTCTGGATGCCAAACTGGGATTTTTGGCTTAACCTGGAAGTGAGGTACGGTGAAGGTTTTTTGACGGCTTTTAGTTCGTAAGGATGTCTACTTTGAGAATCCGTTTGATGCCACCTTGACACCCTTGAGCATTTTGAGAAATTCAAGATGACTGCCAAGTCAGCAAAAAAAATACAAAAATTAAAGTTATAAAAAATATGGGCATATAGCACATTTATTTTAGGGTTTTCGGGCCTTTTGAATTCAAATCTGCTGTTAAAAATAGTTTTGGGGGCGTTTTGGTGAAGTGGGGGGTGTTTTTGGGGGGTTGGTTTTTATATTTTTTCAATATTAACGAGTCGTACATCGATTTATTTGTTTTTATGAATAAGAATCTCGAATTTGAGATCAAAATAGGTACTAAAACAGAAACTCCTATTTGTTAATTATTTTTTTGGGGGGAAGCTGTTTGAGGGGGGAAGCTGGAACTACTGAATAAAATAAAAAACAAACAAAAAATAGATCTATTAACTCAAACTCAAATACATTACTTACAGATATAATACATTTTTAAACAAAAAAATTACAAGCAAACAAAAAAATATTGCAGATAAACATAAATTTACTCGTTGTCCGATTCTTCGCTTTCTGATTCATTTTGCGCAGTTTCCACAAATGTTGTTAGTGGATTTTTACATTTATTTTCGTCCCTTTTATCCATCATGCATTTGCACATCAGGCTACATGACAACCCATTTGATAGACAACCACATCTGTTCGAGCTGCAGGGGTCATTAGCTTTTCATGAGCATTTAGCAAGCTCTAGAATAAAATCTGGTGTCAATTTAGTATTTTGGGGACAGAAATTGGGTTTAAAATTTTGTTTTCGTCATCTTTTTCCCATCCATATTGCGTAACGTCAATTTTAGGAAGAACAAGGTTTTGGGCAGCATCCAACGTTCCTAGATCTCACTTCTTCTGCCCATTTGTCTTGGCGTTTTTCACAGGCTTTCAGAATGTTTTGATTTATGTCCAATGTTCGTACAATATAAAATTCGTTAAATCGGCTTGGGTTTTTAGGATCTTTTTCACGACATTTTTCGGTACACAACAAGCAGTCTTCTCTAAAATCGGACGCACTAAATGATCGCAGATTACGCACTTCTGTTAGTTTAGATTCTTCTTGTCTCCTACTTTTTTTGAACAATCTGGCAATGTGGGTCTTGGATGTGTATGTCGACACACAAGAGCGATGACAATAAAATTCATGGATCTCTAGTCTCTGCTGGTCCTCAATCCAATTTCTCAGCGTTTCATCTTCACGTTAGTAGCACGCACTAATTATTGTTTGAAGTTTTTGTTCACTGATTGTCATTAACTGTTCGGATTTCTCACACTGAAATATGCACTTTTTTATGTTCACTTTTAGTTTCCATCCTGGCGTTGATAGTCTTGCAAAAAGAAAAATGTGTTTTTATTTTCGAAATTATTGTAATAGATATAAAGTAATTTCAGAAATAAAGAAAACCCGTTCCTGAAAAAACAAATGCTGAAAAAAAGTTAATATTGTAACTGTGAATATTACTACTAACCAAAACTTTTGCTTTGATATTAGTAGTTATTTGCACAATTACACATTGGGATATGTGGGATGGGGACATTTAAGTAAGGGTATTGGAGTAAATGGTAAACTTTTTAACTCTAAATTTTGACGCTATCTTGTATATCTTTCTAGGATTTATTCAAAAATCATGTTTTGACATCAAAATTGTAATCTCCACCCAAAAAAACCTATAAAAAGACGTATCGCGCTTGTTATAATTATTATCTTTTTATTAAAATCATCGCGTTTTATGTTATTTTCGGGCCGTCTGTCGGCGTCGTTCTACTTTTTTAACATTGAATAACTTGCTGTGTACCTCCATTTTGATACGACGACACGTTAATATTGAAACAATATTAAAACCATAAAAACCACCCCCTTAAAAACACCCCCCACTCCTAAACGCCCCCAAAAATATTTTTAACTAAAAATTTAAATTCAGAAAGCTTAAAAACCCTAAAATCGATGGGCTACATGCCCATATTTTTAAAAATATAATTTTTGTATTTTTTTGCAGATATTTTTGGGCGCCATCTTGAATTCCTCAAAATGCTCAAGGGTGACAGAGTGGCATCAATCGGATTCTTAAAATAGACCTACTTAGTGACCTAAAACCGCAAAAAAATTTTCACCGTACCTTACTTCCAGCTTTTTCGTCTGGCTTCCAGACTATGTGTATAACCTTCCTTTTTTACCAAAATTCAACTACACCAAAATTTCTCGGGAAAACACTTATTCTTATTAATTTGGGTTGGGTGCGTAGAATCCAAATCAATTCGTACTTTTTCGATCAGACTTCTCAATCAAAAGTTATAGACTAGAAACCAATTTCGAAAGAAAATTCAAAGGGCTGTAACTTTTGAACTAGTAGCCCAATCTTGGAACTGTTTGAAATTATGGATTCTACAGGCCACATTCTATAAGAAAATTTTTTTCCCGGGGCGATCTGAGACAATTTTTTTTTCGGGGCTCAAAAAAAGGCAGTTATACCTTCCTTTTTTACCAAAAATCGACTGCACCAAAATTTCTCGGGAAAAAACCACTAATACTTTAATGGCCCGTAACCTATGCCATTCCACCTGGCCCACAGTTACCCAGTCCGCCCCTGGGTACTCCAATCCTTACGCGAATTAAATATTTATTTAAGAACTCTTTATTTAATGTATAACAGTTTTGCGGGCGACCGTGCCTAAATTAATTAGAATAAAATTTCCGGAACAATAAACTATTTAAAACACCGTACGCTAGCGGTGTTCCATGTGTGATACCGAACATGGGTCCGGGCCCTACGTGAAGAATGTGAAGGCAAGTAAAATCATCAAAATTCTATGAACCCGTGCGTATTCTTTACAAATATCAAGTAAGGACTCTTACGACCGGGCATATTCAGCTCTTAATACATTATTATTCCTAATAACTTTCATAGAGAGGCGACTGGTTTTAGATCGACCGAAAATTGAATATTCCCAGAAGGTTTATAGCCTGAATGACGTAAAAATGCTTTAGGCCTTTCAGTAAGGGTAGGCTAGAGGGTGGTTTGCAATTGCAAAGCAATAGAAGATTCCTAGACCAAAGGCAACCTTCCAAAACTTAATACTCCATTTCCAGGCAAAATGAAGCTAGGAGTCTAAGAGCTCTGGGTCAAAAACCCTTTGAAAGAGGCGTGAAAAGAATTTAAAATGCTCTTCCAACGCTTTAAAAAGTGATTAAAGGTTCTGAGAAAGCGATTGCAATATAAAGTTCTGCAACGTTTTCTATTGCGTTGAAAAGCATTTAAATGCTCTAGAAGGAACTGAAAAGCATAGAACAGACTTTTAAGTACATTCATGAATTATTTAAGGCCTTTGTAGATACTTCGAAAGTCTTATAAACCTTTTTCGTGACTTCTTAGGTCCTTATATTTTCAGATTTAGTCAAAGGAAAAACAGATTAGAAAGCTCTAGAGGGAGCGTAGAAAACAGAAATCTCTAAAAAACGTTTGAATAGAAATCGGAACGCTTTGTTTGACAAGATGTTTTGTCGGATGATATGAAGTTTGGGAAAATACTTAAAAGGAATGTTTTTTTTTGCTTTGGAAAGCCTTTCAGAGTTTAGGGAAGCGTTTAGAAGACTTTATTAAACTTCCCCTGAGGAACCTCTAAGGGTCTGGAAGGGCAAAGATCTCAAGAACGTTGGAAAGAGCCCATAAAACTTTAGTGGCCTCGCAAGCTCCAAAAAACCATGGACAAATCCTAAAAAGCTCCGCGAAAGTGGTCCTCTAGAAAGCACCCAGAAATGTTGTTTAAGTTCTCTTCCTTCCTCCCTTTCCCTTTCAACCTTTCTTCCCTTCTCCTTCTCAAATCTCATCATCTTCGATTTTTTTACATTTAATTCCTTTTCGTTCCCCATACCTGTGCAATCTTCCCGTTTTCCTCTGTTGCGATTATTACACTATCATCGGCGTATTTTCAAAAATTTTACATCGTTCTCTTACTCACAAAAAGGGGCAACTTTGTCCCCATTTAACCTGCACTGTATCTCTCGCCGTTACGGAGATTCCAATGGTGAAATTTTCCGATGGAAGAACGTTTGGTACTTAGAAAACGACCAGTTTTACTACCGATGACAGTACGCCAATGGTATCGGAGGTTGAGTGTTTTTTTTTCAGCGAGACGGCGCACGTTCACATGCCGGTTAGAAGCGAGCATATCCAATCGACCAAACAAATTTTGCACGTCGCAACGTTTCCAGTTTTCCGGATTTTCCACATTTCTAGTAGAAATCACTTTCCATTTCAAATGCTTGCGCACAATTCCGATACAATCGATAATTTAACACGACTAATTAACTGTCGTTAATTAACCATTCATTATTTAGTGAAATGTTCGTTATACCTGCTCGAGTAGGCGGTCATTGCGTAGGTTCTCATTTTTTTTTAATCTCTAAAGTTGATCGTTGTATATCTGATCTAGTCCATAGTGGCATGGACTAGGTTTATGGTTCAAATTTCTTTTGATTTGGTTGAAGTTTACCCCTGTTTCAAAATAGGGCAGGGTAGAGCGCATATGCTTGGGAAGTGTATAAATAAATCCAACTGCATTCTGATCGTTCTCAATTTTTTTGCAAATGCACACATTGCCAAGGAGCAAAAAAAAAGTGCGGTATTAACTTGCCATGTTCTGCACGTGTCTGGGGCGAATACAGGTTTTTTTTTTGGCGCACGCCATAATTAATTAAAGCACTTTCTGTCGGTATTCCTACATCTGCCCTATTTATCGTATTGACAGATTCGTATTTCACATTTGCGCATTTCTCAAATTTATGTTAAATATTGTAATCTTAACCTACATTTCAAGGGTGCATCGATTAGATCTGGCGGATGTAGAATAGAATTTCCGAGAAACACCGAAACTCTTCAGAATTTTCCTTCGTTCCCATTACATTATAGCCAAAAGTTATAGTTTTTTTATCAACTAATTGTTTTTATTTCGTAATAGACGCAATAGCCAAGAACCAACAGTTGGTTTAGTTTTTTTGAGTACCTATAGTATACAGGGTGTCGTTTAAAATACGCCGTAGCTGTAGCGTCTACAGTTTTTATCCGAATTGCAACAAAAAGTCAAAAACCATATTTAATGACAGCGAAATACTACAAAACGGCCATTTTCGAAAGCTACTAATAGTAATAATAAATTCAATGAATAATATTAAAGATACTCTGTCAAGTTGAACCACGAAAAGGTACCGAGCTAAGTCTTGTTTTGTTGGATTTTCAGGCAATTAGCTTCACCATATGGGATTTTCATAATCTTTCCTCACATTTCCTTGAATTCCTTGTCCTTCACTTTTAATAACCCCAGCTCATTAACTAATTACCAACAGAATTAACCAACTAATGATGGCATTGAAGATATTATGCAGAATATGTGGTTTGAGGGAAATGTTGCGTTAAAGAAATGTTATAAATTGTAAAGGTGGTTTTATTCTTGAACAATTTCACACTATTATTGTATACTTTTTGCACCTAGTCTGCATTAAAATTGGAATATGAATTATTAAAATCAGGGAATGCTACTGTATGTTGTTTCTAAAAATAGTTGCGACATGGGCAGATGCAAATGTATTTAACGATTCATTTGTTGTAGGTGAAAACCATAAAGATGCATTTATTCACGTTCATCCAACTCCTCTGCTTGGCGTTGCTATGGACCGTGAAATCGACAAAAGCGTCCTTGGCTTTCCCATTTTTCCTGCTCCTTCTGGTGCCGTTAAGATCGAATTTGAAGTACATATTTTCACCGAGGGAGCTTCGAGCGGTAAGTCTAAGAACATTTTATACAGTTTATTTCTGTCGATCAATCGTTTGTTCTCTGAAGCTTATTTCTTGGGATTGTAAACATTTATATTACAAATGCGTTAACTTACAGCTGGATGGGGATCAACCGGATGTCGATGGCGATGAACCTGACTTCTATGTGGAGGCTCCACTTCCTGGATAAGTTCTTTAATGGGCAGCAGCGTATATTTTAAATCAGTTAATTTTTCGTTAATCGCCGATTGTGCGGTCCTTAAGTTATTTACAATCGTCATTTCCCTCAACGTCTATTTTCCACGTTTAATGCATAATAGATTTATGTTATGTATTGTAGATAGGTACCTAAATTAGTATTAGAACGTGCTTATATTTTCTTTAATTAGTATTATATAATGTACATCATAACGGAAATCAAACATTAAACGGTTCTTTAATAACCACCTAGCAATATTAACTTACGGGTTTAATTTTTGTATGAAAATAAACATTTAAAAGGCAATTGTGTTTAAGAGTTTTGTGGAAGATTGAGTTATCCAATGGGAACTAGTGCACTTCATCATTATTTTTTATCCAACGCCAAATGGCAAAAGGGAATAATTTGAAAATTATTCCATACAAATTTGTCTTAAATATTTTGCCCATATGACTTTTACTTAAATGCATTGCATCAATGATCCAAGAATTTAAATTCAGTAATTTACATGTTATATCGGTTTATTCTTAATTATAAGCTAGCCGGCTTGAATTGTGTTTTGGCAGGCAGCTTGTAGGTAGGTTGTAGTATGTATAAGTATAGTAATATTAATGTCAACCAATTTACTTATTACTGTGTACTTAAATCATTATTTTTGACATCGTGTACTTCCGTGCAAAATTACTTATATTGTACTAAATCTTCACCATTGACAGTATTAGGTATTAGAACTAGCAATAACCTTATTTAGATTAAAAATGCCAAGAAAGAAGTAAAGATGCTGTGATGCGAAGTAGAATGGTACTGCCACGAATATTTCATTAAAATGCCTTATAAGTTTATTTTATACGAATTTAAATCTGTACAGATATTTTTTATAAGAATGTTTCATGATATGGACCGAATTACGTGTGATAAAAGAGGTACAAAATGAAGTGTGAGACGGCATTATTTTTTATTCTTGTATCTTGTCCAAATGCAGATATTATGTACCTAGTTCGATAAGCCGCCCCAAATTGCAGATGGCTAAATATCAAATCAATTGGTATCGAGGTACGGCGGCTTGCAACCGCTTCATCTTTCTTGAAAGTTAGAATAAGATAGTGTATAGTTATTATTCTTGTTCGAAATTAAAAGATCCTACTTATGGTACAAAATGTTTCTCAATTTATATAAACTTGATACTTGCCGATTTTGTTGTGACTATCACAGTATTTCGTCCACTAGCCTATATTTAAATAAGTTTTAGTTTTTTCGCCCTTTACTAACAAAAAACCTTTTTTTTACCTACTATGTTGTTTATTATATATTCCTACTTGTTTCTATTTCCTAGTGTTTCTAACTGTGATTTAAATATTAAATAGCAAATTTAATTCCTAAGATAATAAAATATTTTCCTGTGTATTTTTCTTTTTGGTATTGAAACGTAAAGGCGGCACTCCAGCAAACTGGGTTAGGTCGGCGGCATCTCCGGCACAATATGCCGCAGCATTCGACTCCACCAAACTGGGCAGATGTGTCGGCTTGCAGGGTGTTCTTGTTCTTCATCCGAGATTGTTTGACGACGAAATTTTATCAAGAAAAAAAATAAGTGGAAGCACAGGTTTTAGGTACGGCCTAGTTTAAACAAAAATCTTCGTTGTGAAAAACAAAATACAAACTCAAATTGCAGAAAAAAGCAAACAAAATACAAATATACCACGTATAGTCCAGTAAAAGTAGACATTGACCCAGAAATTTGAAAAAACAAGCTGAAAATTGGCATACTGAGGATAGTGCTAGAACTAAATCCCGAAAAGTCCCAAAAGATCCCGGTTGGGGAAAGGACGCCATCTTGAAAAAACTACCCCTAAATTAGATTTTCCGATTTTTGAGCATAACAAATGAACGGATGGTCCAAATTTCGTCGGCAAGGTGTCAAAATGGTTGTTTTGATGTTTGTTTTGAGTGAAATAATTATTCCGTATAATACGATGCCCTTGCAAATGTGACCTTTTTCAAAAAACCACCCCCATCATGGGTTTCTCTCTTTTCCGGCTATTGTTGTTAAATAAAGCTTCGGATAATTAGTATTGATGTTTCTAATCGTTCTTCTTGACGTTCTCTATCTGAATGTCAAAATTTCTGTTAAAAAAAACCTTCAGAGTTCAGAACAAGATTGAGAGTACTAACTAAATGAACACTATTTTATTCATTATATTTTTCATTATTATTTGCAGTCAGGTTAAGTTGCACGTAAAAAATATTTAAATGTATTCTACAATTACGGGTAGGGACGTTTCATACCCGGACAACTCATACCCGGACGACTCATACCCGGACACCACATACCCAGGACAACTCATACCCAGGACAACTCATGCCCAGGACAACTCATACCCAGTACGACTCATACCCAGTACACCTCATACCCAGGACAACTCATACCCAGTACAATTGGTACTCATACCCCAGTACACCTACATACTTTTCCATTTTCTCTAATATTATGCCTAAGGTAGGTAGTTAGACTTTTGAGATTAGTACCTGCTCCAGCTAACCGAATTTTATAATGAAATCCCGGTCAAAAGCAAAGTAAAGAAAATTGAATTACTTCAAGTAAATTTTAAACATGACCACTTTTAGTCTACATTACAGTGAGAGGGGAGGAAACTGAACAGTTCTTACACATGTTGAATATAAATAAACCTTGAGGATCCAAAGGGGTATATTATGGAGTATATAATGCGGTAGCTATTCCCTCGGGTGCTGACAAACGTGTCCCGAGATGATACCCACATGTGTAAAATTTCCCGGGTATGGCGCACCCTATGTAAGAATTATCGTCGGTAAGAATAGTGCTGGGTATGAGTTATCATGGGGTATTTGTAGGGTCCTGGGTATTATGAGTACCTGCTCCAGTATACCCAGGACAACTCATACCCAGGACAACTCATACCCAGGACAACTCATACCCAGTACGACTCATACCCAGTACACCTCATACCCAGGACAACTCATACCCAGTACAATTGTTGTACGTAGCTGTACTTTCTTTTCCATTTACTCTAATATTATGCCTAAGGTATTTATAGTTAGACTTTTGAGATTAGGTACCTGCTCCAGCTAACCGAATTTTATAATGAAATCCCGGTCAAAAGCAAAGTAAAGAAAATTGAATTACTTCAAGTAAAATTTTAAACATGACCACTTTTAGTCTACATTAATGAGGGGAGGAAACTGAACAGTTCTTACACATGTTGAATATAAATAAACCTTGAGGATCCAAAGGGGTATATTATGGAGTATATAATGCGGTAGCTATTCCCTCGGGTGCTGACAAACGTGTCCCGAGATGATACCCACATGTGTAAAATTTCCCGGGTATGGCGCACCCTATGTAAGAATTATCGTCGGTAAGAATAGTGCTGGGTATGAGTTATCATGGGGTATGAATAGTCCTGGGTACCAATTGTACTGGGTATGAGTTGTCCTGGGCATGAGTTGTCCTGGGTATGAGTTGTCCTGGGTATGAGTTGTCCTGGGTATGAGTTGTCCTGGGTATGTGGTGTCCGGGTATGAGTCGTCCGGGTATGAGTTGTCTGGGTATGAAACGTCCCCGACCCCTACAATTAATGTAAATGAGCGCAATCCTTTCAACTATTCGCACATAACTAAAAAAACGGCGTGAAAATAATCAATCCATACACAGGTTTTAAATTGGAAACATTCCGAGACCGAACGACAACACAATGACGAAAATCTATACTATGAGTAAAAATCAGACACCGATCTACTCTTACAAAAGTAACCCTTACACCTGAATGCACGGTATCGAAACGTGATATAAATTTGGGTGTTTCGTTACTAAGAAACCGTAGCTTCCAGATTTATTTATTTTTTTTAGGAATAAACAGAAGGTGATTTAACTTCTAGCGCCCTTTTAACTGCCGATTACATAAACACTTTCTAAGATAACCGCTCTTTTTGCTATTTAGGTAGTAAGGTTACACAAGATAATCGTTGCAAGGAAGATATAAAATCCAGGATAGCGCAGGCTAAAAAAGCATGGGCATAAAAGTGGGACCTGCTAAGATCCGAGATAAATATAGGAACTAGGAAAAGATTGCTAAAAACGTACAAATGTAGTGTAGTGTGTAGGTCATACAGGTGCGAACCCTGGACGATAGGCAGGCAAAAGTAGGATAGAATGAGGATTAGCTGGATGGATAGGGTAACAAAACGAAGCAGTCTTGGAGCTAGTACAGGAAATAGGGAAATATGGAAAACCGTACCGAGAAAACGACATAGAATGATAGCGAACGTGCCTAAGACACGGAGGAATAGCACTACTAGCTATAGAAGGAGGGCCGAGGGCAAGAGAGGGGTAGGACCACGGAGACTGAAACACATAGAGCAAATAGTTAGGGACGTAGGCAAGGGTAGTTATGTAGCACTGAAAAGATTAGCGCAGGATAGGAAAAGGTGGAGGACTGCGTCCAACCAATCCTAGGATTGCGCAAACAAAACAACAACAAATGCCGAAAACGTGAAAAATCCAGGTTGGGGGTGATTTTCCTAAAAAGCTCGAATTTTCAAGGGCTTCTTTATGTGCGGAATTATGTTTTTACTCCAAATACACATTAAAACAAACATTTTGACACCTTAGCAACGAGAATCAGACCATTGGTTTTGCTCTAGGGGTAGTTTTTTCAAGATGGCGTCCGTTCCCCGACCGGGATCTTTTCGGACTTTTCGGAAATTGGTTCTGGCACTATCCTGAACATGTCTGCCAATTTTCAGCTTGTTTTTTTCAAATTTCAGGGTTTGGCCCTTATTTTGTCTAATTTTACTGGACTAGTAAACAACGTACCGTTTGACACAAATACTGACTGAAAACACACGTTTGCACTGGTTCAGACAGCACCTGCTCACGTGGCCGGCCGAAATCCCTTTGATATTTATCGACATTTGCCCGCTAGCAAAATTTTGCCGGCTGCCGATGCTATCGGCCTCGAAAGAATGTAGCCGGCGGGTTGTGCCGCCGCCGGCCTAGACCAGTTTGGTGGAGTCCCGCCTTAACAATAACATTTTTTCAGGTAACCGTCGAAACAGCTGGTGTTAGTTATGGTTTCAAATGAGGAGTAAAATTTGAAAATTAGATATGTACTTTCATATATAATCAGGGGCGGATTTAGGCAGGGGCTTTAAGGGCTGCAGCCATACGAAGCATCGTATACGTTTTCAGTATGGGTATTTTTTGATACTTAGCTCGCATTCGGAAACGCAACTTTTAATGCGACTCATATTCAAAAGCACTGATCGTTGAACTCATAGGAGTTGATCAGAGAAGGTTTGCGCTCTGTTTCTTTTGATTTTCGAGTTAACGAGGAACAGATGGACGGACAAAACCATCACATAAAGGAAATTTCTTTCCAAAAATTCCTTTAAAACAGAGAGAAAACTATTATTCTATTTTCATAGAATGACCGTGGAGGCAATTTTGTACGCTACCCACCCCAAGGTACGAGTAATTGGAGTGTGTATCAGACGAGGTTCTACATTTAAATGTTCAACATTTTCCCCAGCCAACATTCGTTATCTCATTTGTTGAACTTGCTTGCATTATAAATTAATGCTGAATAGAAAGAACACCGCCGGCTAACAAACTTGGGCGCCATATTTTTTTGCATTTCATTTATTCTTTTATTATTTTTTTTCTTTTTGTTTTTTTCTTTTTATATTTTTTCTATTTTATTGTTTTCTTTTGTTTTGTTTCTATCTTATAATTTTTATTTTATTTGATTTATTATTTGTTTATCTTTATAATTTATAAAGAAAAATATAATTGTGGCAATGAGTACCACTGGAAACCTGTTTTGTGATAAAAATGATTAAAAAGATCAGTGGCCTGCCGCTGTGTACAGATGTTTCTGTGTAATCTGTGCTTTTTGAAATTTGAACCCTCTACTGTATTTTAATATTTTTCATTGTATTTATACTTAGTGCGTTTGCCTTAGACCTGTAATTTTAATAATAATTTTCTGAAGAAATAATAAAATTGAAATGAAGATGTTTTTCGATAACCCGAAGTTCATTAAGTAAGGGGCCCCCTACAAATATTAGCCCAGGGCCCCCTGAGGCCTCGGTCCGCCCCTGTATATAATATATATTATCTAATCTAAATTAACTTCACTCACTTTTTTTAACTAGTAGAGTATCTTACATTTGACGATACTCTCGTTCCAGGTGGCGGGTAGCCGTCGAGTCTTGCCAAATTCTAAAAAGTTGATATTTTAACGCCCTGGTATCAGGTGTTCATTTGCACTGTTTAACAATTATCCGGACCTGTTGGGAAGTGTACACAGGGCCGTTTCTAGGGTATCTTCCCCCCGGGTGCGAGAATAATTGGCCCCCATCCCTCCAACCCAATCCCCTCCCCCAAAGTTGATAGGAATTTAAATAAAAATGGATAACTTTTACGTTTAAACAAATTGGAAAAACCTACTTTGACCACACACGACTGACGAGTATTTTCCTGTAAAATCTTCGTAGGCACTCGCGACGCGAAAGATACTTTAGTCAGTACTCAGCTTAGACTGTTTGTCCAGAAGAAGCGAATTCTATCGTGCTTATGTTGCGTCCAGGAGGAGCGAAAAACGCGCCAGCATTTGGGAATGCGAATACTATCACTAGAAAATATGGCGTGTACTCACTCTACATTCCACGCGTATACTGAACGCAACAGGTTATAACGCGTCCCCTACTCCTAGGAACTCGACTCGTGCGAGTCGAGAGTCGGGCGAAGTGTACGGTATTTGCGCGCATATTTTGAATTCGCGCGATGCTTGGGGACGCGATGTGTTTGCGCTCTTTCTGGACAAGGTCTCAATCATATTTTCCAACTGGTTGCGACCTGAAGTTGTGTAACATTTGAATATTCAATTAATAATATTTAGAATAATTGAGCGCCTTCTCGGTTTGCCCCGCACTCCCGGGTCGGAGTGGACAGGCTCCCATATTGAAGAAAACTAAATCAAACTGTTGTTTTGTTACACCAAAGCACTCCTCGCAAAAAAAAAGAAAATTGTATTTTAGGAAAAATATTAATGAGCACCCCACTATGGTAACCCCTCTTGGCAGTACCACATCGTTGGTGATGTTTATAATAGCGGACAAAAAAGCTACCCTTTGAGGGAGCCCTCGGTCTATTATTCTGGTGTGTTTTTTACAGACCGTAGGGCTAGTTCTATGATTCTATTGATACGGTATCTGTATAATAAGCGCGTTAAATCCCTACGTAGGTAGGGTACCACTCCTAATAGGAAGACTTGCGCGGGACGCGTCGAAGACGTTTTGCAGCTCTAGAGGGAGGTCAGATTTGGCATAATTACCTAAAATTTGGGAGCACTTTTTAGTATTTCTGTTCTTTAAAAAGATCTGGAACTGACAATGATCTTCTCTGTTCCAGTTTATTACAACTTAGGAACCAATTCAACATATTTTTTATTCCAGAACGGAGTATGTAAAGTTGCCTATTATAATGCCCATTTTCTTAATTGATGTATTGTGGGCTGCCTAACAACAGTTAATTTTTAAGTCGCTTTTCCGATAGCTTCTCTATAAATGAAGTTGGAGCAGCGAGCAGGACATTGCAGCTTATATGTTCAGAGTTTACATTCGGCAATTCCAGGAACCATAAAAATCTTTGTCATAGTTGGCAATGGAAGTTTAATTGTGAATATACCATGTAACTGACAATTCGTTTATTAAACAAATAAATTAATGACAGGTCCCTCTGACAAGTGTCCTCACCGCCAACTATGATACTGAATTTTATGAATCGCTCTTTACTACCTTATTATAGAAAGCACTCAATTGTGTTAATTGAGTGAATAAAAAGAGCAAAAATTATGAAAAAGTATCTCTTATTAAACGAAGAAGAATATTTGTACAAATTCCTTAAAGATACAAGTCAGATACTCGCTACGTTCGCTACTCGGGCATTTCTCCACCAGGCACCAACTAAAATTTCAAAATTAACAACACAAATTACACTCATAAAGTAATACCATTGTAATATTATTCCCGTTTAATAAGATTTGATCTAGCTTCGTTATCCGTCTGCCCTCGGGTGTCGTTTCGTATTCGGTCACATCTTCAAGTAGCATGTTGACAAAATCGTCGAAACCAAGCAGCGTACCGACGATTTCCTTGTCATTCTTCATGATAATGTGAATTCTCGAGCCGATGCACTTATCTACCAATTCTGAAAGAGGCGAATGTAAATTGGAAATTGCTAATTATACAATACCTAAAGGTAGTAAAGTGGATGAGGATACTGGCATACTGGACATTTTCAATTGGTTTAATTTAAATAATAAACTAAAATGTGAAGGGCCACAAACGAAAAACTGAGGTTATGTCTTTTGTCAACAGGTCAGTGGCGGAACGTACGACTCTCCCCATGTGTTTTTACTAGAATCTTTGAAAGTTTTATTCATCCGGTATAGTGCCTTATCGTAAAATGTTTTCTACAAAGTACTGGCTAATGATGATCATGAATGGATAATCTTTCGGCGATATTACGTTTTTATTGTGACGTACGTCAAGCACGCTACTGTTATTGTTGTGACGTGCGTAGCGCATGCGGCTCTACATGCACCAATTTGCGATTATTCATTCAGTTTATCATTCAGAAAGATGGAAGGTGTTTGTATATTTAATTCGTGAACATGTGTTTTTTGTGACTTTTAAACATTTTTATAAGTGAACCGGTGTCCAAATGATGACAATAACGTTAAATCAGAACACTATTTTGGATATTTAGCCGTCATTTTCGTTATACGGTGAGTCCTTTTTGATTTCGTGCCGCATGTAACTTCTGTATTTGTATTCTTGGGAATTCACAACACATCGATTTATTTTCTTTATTGCTCTATTTTTTTAGAGCCTTTTGTACTAAACAATTCCCATTCGTAAACGGTAGCTATATCCCTTTGTACCTACTATCGCTACACATTTTTAAAGGGACAAAAGCAATTTTTTAAATTTTAATTCCTTGATTAAATTAAAGGGGCTTGAGTCGTCTGGGAGGGAATTTTTTGTTTTATTTTGAATTCTTTTCATTCAAGGTTGAGTACAATCGACACATACTCGTTATCTCTTTTTAATTTTGTTCAAATTTGCACGTCTGGCTATCGGTGACTGCAGGTGTAGCGCATGTTTCCAAAACTATCTGATAAGATTAATAGAGGTATTCTATTTTAAATAATAATACATCCAGTAATATATTTAGGAATTATCTATTATTCTTCAAGGATAAAATATTCCATTTTTTAATGAAACGGTTTATAGACCACACACGTTTTTGTGATGTTTTTTTGTGATAGCCTTGGGCATTATGGAAAAAATTAGGTTTTCTGCGAGAGATCCTACCATTAATTAAAGGTCCCATGGTGGACATCGAGGTGGACATTTAAAAAAGACCTGTTCGTTTGCAGTTTTAATTTTTTTGATGGTAAGTGATTAACCTACTCGTTAACATACCTATACCATACGGTTATTTTTGTAAACAATTCGTATACTTAATGTCTTTTTGTACCAGCAAGCGGAATCTCATAATTACTTCCGTATTGTCTCTAATTGTGTTTATAAAATTTGAGCAACAATGATTATATCCAAAATTTCAAAAATAGTCATAGCGAAAAATCTAAGGAAAAATCCAACCCTCTCGCTCAACACCGCAAAAAATATCTGTCAAGACTCAAAAGTCGACACTCATCTCTAGAATAACTAACCAAATAGCTCGCCAAATAGGCACTCTGAGGTGAATTTACCCTTAAAATACAAATAAAATTCGATATTCTCCGGCAAAAAAGGATTCACAATTCATTTTGTTTTCGGAAATGATGTTAGTTTTGATCAGCACTACTTATCACTATATTGTATTAGTTGGCGACTTATTTTAGGGGACAAAAATTCCATTTATTGCCTAAAATTGCCACCATTTCCCTTGATATCCCCAACATTTCCTCGGAATTCTCCCAAAATTTCGTCTAATTTTGTCCATATTTTAATTAATTAATTCCTCGAAATTTCATTTATGAAGGGTAAGTTTTCTTATAAGAAGGAAAGAAAAATTGCCACCATTTCCCTTAATTTTCCCAACATTTCTAGCATTGCATTAAAATTTCCCCAAATTTATACAAAATTTCTCCGAATTAACGTAAAATGAGTAACGTTACTGCCTTATAGAGACTTATTTTCTTAAAATTTCCTCTAGATTTCCTCAGAATTTCCTCTTTCCTGAAAATTTCGTAATATTTTCCTAGAATTTTCTCATTTCTTGGGCAATTCCTCCTATTTCTCCGAAATTTCCTAGTATTTTCTCAGAATTTTCTCTAATTTCTTCCATTTCCTACACTTTTCCCAGCTACTTCCTCGAAATGTGCTATATGAGAGACAAGATTTGCCCTCGGGGTTGATCACGACTTGTGATAGGGGACAACGATTTCTTTCATTGCCCCCTCGCATTTACCTTAATTTTGTTCCTTTTCTACATACCTATGTCTTTGAAATATCATACATGTGGAACAAGAATTTTCGTTTCTTATTTTAAGGGATAAAGATTTTCTACATCGCCTAAAAATTGCCACCCCTTAGTTTTCCCAACATTTCTGAATTGCCCCGAATGAACCCCTCGGGGTTGGTCACGACACGACTTATTTTAGAGGACAAAAATTTCCTTTATTGCTTAAAATCGCCACATTTTTCATTGATGTCCCCAACATTTTCGCTAGATTTCCTCGGAATTTCCCGTATTCCCTCAAAATTTTCTAATATTTCCCCAGAATTTCGTCTAATTCCATTCCATTTCCTACATATTTCCTCGAAATTACTATGAAATTACTATAATTAATTAAAGCAATTACTATAATTACTATATGAAAGACAAGATTTCTTACGAGATTTCTTTTATAAGAAGGTAAGAAAAATCTCGAGAAAAATTGCCACCATTTCCCTTAATTTTTCCAACATTTCATCGTATTAAAATTTACACAAATTTACACAAAATTTCTCCGAATTCACGTGAAATATGTATTTAATATTTACCTACAATTTCCTCATTCCTGTGACAATTCCTACTATTTCCCCACATTTTCTCTCGTTTCTTCCATTTTCTACATTTTTCCTAGTTATTTCCTCGAAATTTCCTATATGAGCGACAAGAATTGACCTCACGCCTTGTTTTAGGGGACCAATTTCTTTTATTGCCTAAAAATTGCCAACATTTCCCTTAATTTTGTCAAATTTTGTCCATTTCCTACATATGTCTTCGAAATTTATTTAATTTCCTTTAAGGGTCAAAAATTTTCTGAATTGCATTAACCCCAAATTTCCCCAAAATTACACAAAATTTGTCCTAATTAACGTCAAATGAGTGTCGTAATTTCCTCGCTTACTTCCTTATAGAAATCTTTTATTTCCTTAAAATTTTCTCTAGAATTCCTCAGAATTTCCTCTAAATTTCCTTAGAATTTCCTCTACTTAAATTTCTTCAGAACTCGCGTCAGAATTACCTTTTACTTGTTTAACATTTCCTCATTCCTTTGAAATTTCCTCTTATTTCCCAAAAATTTCCCAAGAATTTAATCTAATTTCGCCCATGTCCTGCATATGTCTCGGCTATTTCCTATATGAGAGACAAGAATTTCCCTCGTGATCAACCTCTGGGTTGGGGGTTAAATAATCTGGCGTTTTCAAAGTAAGTATTCGTGGTAAGGTAGAAAAGTTATCGAACCGGAACACCTTGTATATTTTAATCTAAAACGATAGCATATTGAATTCTCTTTTCAAAAATACTAATAAAACACTAATAAAGCTCAAAATCTCTGAATTTTTTTAATTACTTGAACTTTTTTTTAATATCCCTGGTATGTTGTATTTTTGAAAAAGATTTTTGTAGATTCCGACGTCCCTTTAAAAAAATGAGGTTAGTTCCTCCGTACACGAGTCCGTATACTTATTTTGAAAAATTCAATAATCTTTATAAAGCCTTTTATCGAAACGTATTTTTAAGAAAATATAGATTGATTCTGAAATTGATGGGTTTTTTTATTTTGCCCCGTATCTCTTAAGCGAACGAATATTTTTAAATTCTCAGTTTAGCATTTTAAGTTCGACCTATATTACTTTTTTGATAGCACAAACAATTACGGAAATACCCTATAAAATGTCAAAAATGAGAAACCCTTTACTTTTCCCCAGAATTGCATTTTGTTAAATCTATATCTGCAGCGAGTCTTTATTTCTATTTTCAACGCCATTTCTGTTGCATAATTTTATATAATAAATAATAATTTAAACGATTTTTTTTGTTAAAATAAAATTGCAAAGTTAATAACTTGAAACTCGATAAAAGTGACCGAGCCTTCCTTAAGTGTCGATACTCACGTTCAGTTGTAAAATTCAAATTGTGAAAATTGCATTGTAAGTATTTCTCGGCCGGACGGAATAAATTGGAGCAACGACAATGGCCGACCGACCAGGAGTGACAAGTCTACGGACTGCCGGCGAACTGAACGTGAGTATCGAGCTTAACTAACCGTCGGTTTGTTAACAATATATATTTTTACTGCAAATAAATCACAACTTTTTTGTACACTAAAATTCTAAAAGGAATTCTAAAAAAATTAGAAAATCTACAAAGATTAAAAACAACAAGGAAATGATAATTGTGTGTGCATGTGCGTTCGGAAAAAAACTTCAAGAAAAGTTCAAAAATAATTATAGAAAATTCTAAAAAATTCTACAAAATGGTAATGGCTACACCAAAGTTCTACAGCGATTTTCCCCTCGAAATTTTGTGTACACTAAAATTCTAAACATTCTAAAATTTTTTTAGAAAATAAATCATAATTGTGTGTATGTGCACTCGGAAAAAAGTGTAAAAAATTCTAGAAAATTTAAGAAAGTTCTAGGACCATTCTAAAAACTTCTATAAAATCGTAGTGGTAGTCGTATACACCAAAATTCTACAGTGATTTTATTTATTTATTTATTTATTATTATTTTTTTTAAATAAAAGTAGCATCAAAACTAGAGAAGTTATTACGAAAATAATGTTGGTCCCTGTTTTCATTCAAGCAATTGACTTTTTTTGACGCCAAAATGTTAAAACTTTTTACACTTTATGTCATAACAAAAGAAACCCAAAATTTTTTTCTCCCTTTTTTCCCTAGTATCTACCTCATCCATTTCACAATTTTCAGTATTGAAGAAATGCCAATGTTTTCAACACTTTAAACCGGTCGAACTGTTAAGGTATATTACAAGTACATGAATGAAGTGAACTGCAAAGTGTTAACGATTAGTTTCAATATGGGCCATTGTAAAAATTATACCAAAATGTTTCTAAACAAATCATGAAATTAAATTCTTTTTTCACAATTTACCAGTGGCTCACCGAAAAAAGTTCAGTGGTAGAAAATGGATAACTCCTGAAAAACAGCACCCTTTATATTCTCACTAGCATTGACATGCTCAGTCATGTAAACCCTATTGTTTAACCCAGGAAAAATAAAGAAA